GCACACATTTCCGACGAATGTAAGCCTCTAAAATATAGCAAAGTGGAGTTAAGGGATCCAGCGTACCAAGCAGATTGGGCAGATATCCTCATTTTCAGTCGAGCCAACGCTGGTTGGACTGGGTAGTGCTGTTGGCGACTCTGGATTCCGCTCCGCACGGTTGTATTTCGTGATCCGAAGTTGATCCAGTCTTTCCTTCGTCACACCACGAACAACCGCAGCACCACGCATCTGAGCAGCACGCAGCTACAAAAGCAACAGTTAGACTTCCCATCGGTTGTTAGAAATTTAAGACAAACTTACATTTCTCCGGTCCGCGCGTCGCCAACGCAGTAGAAGTGCTAGCAGAACGAAAACCACTGTGACGATGAAAGCTCCTAGCACGTAAACGAGGGATTCCGGATCCAGCGGAAGCGTGTTGGTAGCCGCATCCGTCGTCACTGCGTTCGTAGTGTTATAAACCCACACATCACCTAGTTGGCTTTGGTAGCTCCCACCGTGAATTACCATACTATCTCCTCGCCAAAGCGCGGCACGGTGGTTGTATCGCAGGGGTGGAGATGCAGCGTCGCTCTCAATCACAGCATGTCGTGCTTCCATGGCCTTATTCTTGAAGTCAAATTTGCCAAGAACTATGTCCTCGTAGACGTAGCCACTCGAGCTCTGTTGCGGTTTATAATACCCGCCAAAGAACCACATATTACTTCCTTTCGTGGTGACTATCGACGTGTACGCACGAGGAACGCTGGTGGACGGCGTTATACTCATCCATTCATTTTGGCTAAAGTCGTAGAGCCACACGTCGTCCAGCAATGTCCAACTAGAGAACAGCAAGTGTCTACCACTATACACCAGCAAATAGGCTTCACTTTTCTCGCTATTGTCGTGTAACAATGCGACTGAATGAGAAAATCGAGTAGGGGGCTGATCTCCTGTAGGTTCCATCTTTTTCCAGGTGTATGTACTGAGATCGTATCTCCACAGATCATTGTAGTCGACTGGAGCTTCATCACCTTTCTCATCATATGCAATTCCACCGAACATGAACAAATAGTCGTTGTGAATGACGACACCTGCCTCTGATCTTGGGTCTGGTACATCACTGGTTGAGTTCGACGGAATGGGGTCCATGACCCATTTTGGTGTGCTTTCCATTAACGAAAGCCGCCAAACATCGTTGAACTGCACTACTGGAACACTGCTCGTAGTAGATGTACCATCGTCAGCCTTTGCTGCCAAGAGCGATAGCCCTCCGAATACGATGAACTCGTTGACTGTAGTGTTCGTATGAAGTACTCCAGCGTGGTGGAAGCGGTTCGAAGGTCTATTGTCACCGACTGACAGCTCGGCCCATTGTCTGTCAACAAGGTCGAATACCCACGTGTCGTTATACTCGACATCTTCATCTGCTGCATTCGTACTGATACCTCCGAAGAGATACATGTTGTCCTCAAAGGTGGCAATCGCGTGAGCGGAACGTCTCATGGGCTGCACTGCAGCCGACCCGAATGAGGTGCCCCAGAGTTGCGTCCACTGCGCTGAAGTAGCAGGACCCGCGATTTCCGGAATCACTTCCATTCTTGAACAATAATTCTACCTGCTTATTAATTCACCTGGAAGGTGAGTATTTTAAAGTGCCACGAAAGCACGCTTCACACCAAAAATGCAGTATGACGCTGGTGATCAGATTGGAAAGCAGCATCAGCAGTCCATATTTAGAGGGTTTATCTTATCATCATTTCACGCAAATTTGCCAACTGCACACTGGTATTCTTAGAAAGAGAATTTTGGTGAAAATTACTATCCATACTAATTGCTTCGAACAGCAAGATCCGAGTCGAAACCTGGTTGATCTTGTATTTATGTTAATGCAGAATCTTGAATTCTCACTTACCTGGGTGCTTGCAAACGAATCTAAACACTTTGGGTTTTTGCAAATTCAATTACGAGGCTAATGGAAACCCGACGACTCGATGCATTTTACATTTTGACGCTGTATAGAACTATTTTGTTAGAACGACATTCGATGCCACGTTCTAAGTAATCTACTTCATAAGTGATGTCACGTCACCATTGACAGACCAAAGCTACGCTCTATCTCGGATAATACTTTTTTATGTTGGCAAATTTAAGGTTGGCTTTTCACTCCTCTCGAGTGGATGTGAGCTATTGCCATTGCCCTGGCTAGTGCTGTTTGGTAGTTCCTCCGATGGGGTAACGCTATGCTCTTCTTGCTCCTTTATCCCAGTGTTGCCGCTGAATCGGTCAATAAACTGCAATGGTTACATAGCAAAGAGGATGGTTAGCATCATTGGTCATGACAAAACTCAAGCACATTGAACAATACCTGCTGAATTTGACTACGCACTTGCAGCTCAGCCTCTGTGAGTACTGGAAAGGGCCAGTCACCAAGCTCGTGCCGTTGCTGCAAGATCCCCAACAACATTTGCTTTGCTAAACTGTTTCGAGAAATCAGAGCTGTCCACTATGCAAAAATATCGCCATCAGCTCAATTTGTAAGCACTATTAGTGTTACACTAACAGAAAACTCACTTACATTTAGCTGCACATCAATCAGCTTTTTTATCTCCATGCTGACAAAAATCGTGTGTATCCGCGGCAGATCCTTTTCACTCTGTGTCGAAGTTGCAGGAATGAGCTTATCATCACTCATGACTACAAGGTGTTCAAACTGCATACCTCTTCATTACCAAAATCGCCCAGAATGTCTCCATTAGGGTCGACCCAGCGGATTATGGAGGCGATATGATAGTCCAGTTCAGAAATCGTGTCCACGTCTGAATACTGCTCAAAGCTGTCAGCCTGAGCCTTCTTCGCCAACGTATCCAATACAATATTGGCTGGGCCGGATCGGACGGCTAAGCGGACAAGAAGTCGCAAACAAATAGATCGGATATCGTTCATTGCTGATCATCGCACAGACATTCAAACGAGAACACTGTAAGAAACGTTAATCAAACACTACATTTAACCTAGACGTACCTTTGCGTTTTCCTTTGGCACTTTGACTAGCTCCTCGAGAGGAGAACATTTGATCCAGCTGTTTGAGCAGTTTGTACACACCACATACGAGATAAAGCATATCGATCTTCCATTGTCCTTCACGAGCCCTGGAAACCACGAGGCTCTCATACGCCTCCGCAATACAAGCCAGAACATCCAACAGCATTCGAACTGTTAGTTCATACACTTTTTCGTGTACACCAAGGTTGCGTTCGTAGCCTATTAGCACCGTAGTATTAACATACTCCAGCAACAGCTGCACCCGAAAGACGAACCCTTGTACGGCGTAGGTACACCGAGTATTACCGAACCAAGGCTTGCATGCTGCCCACGATTGTTCATAAATTCCCGGGAGTAAGTGATTCATACATTCGTGGAAAAAGACACGATGTGCGTAGTGAACAAGCGAATGTATCGTCTCTAAAATTTGCGATTCCACTCGTTCGAACGCATGATCAACCCAGTTGAGATGAATGTATCGGTTGTCATGGTCAAGATTGCGTCGTTTACTCCTCCTTCCTTGCCGTGCCATCGTGTCGACTTCATGTCTGCATATTCGCCACACAAAGAGCAATCTGCACGAATTGGCGTGTTCCGATACGGCTTTTTCAACCGTGCATGACGGTAATTGAAGTGTAGCTATCATCTGCTGATTCATCTTTGCTATCTTTTCCAGTAAAACCTGCACAAAAGTGCAGCTAAGAGCGACATTTTGCGCTTGAATACAAGTACCAATAATCTCAGTTTCTTCAAGTAAATGATGTGCGAGTTTCTCAAACGGTGATATGGTTCGAGATGATGTTGTGGTTTCCGAAATGGTCGAACGCATGGCTGTACTAGTCCTCGTTAGTCGTGATGGTTGTTGGAAGCAATAGGTACCCAACTCATCAAAATACCCAATTTTCGCTTCAATAATGGGCCGAACAGAACTACCTCTTGCGAAGTTAACGGTAGATCCCATGTCCCTCACAACCAGTTGATCTTGCGGCGAGGCTGCAGCTTCAAAAGAACTCGATCTCGAACGTGCCGGCGTGGCGTGAACTGCTGGATTCCCGTGAGTTAGCACGTCGTTTTGAAGAACAGACCGAAAGTAGCGCGCAAAAATGTGTTCACCCCTGCTAATTGACGGCTCCACAGATTTCCACAGTGCACTCCCCACTTTGTCATTTAACTCGCCATTGGGAAATACCGAGCTAATCTCTACAACCACTGCCTGTACAGACTCGAGGACTTCTCGAAATTTGAGACCCATTTGCACACGGAACTGAGGATTCACGGGGGCTCCGATAAAATGAAAATCTCGCAGATTTACCCATTCATTCAGCGAAAAAAATTGGGTCCAACTAGCTACTTCGACACATTTTTGAAGAGATTTCTTCATCTGGAGTTTGCATCGCTTATCGTCTACATCAATAACCACAACTTCAACCCATACGCTGTCCTTGCCGTTGTTTACTAGGACACGCTGACCTACCCATTTCGCGAGACCCCCACTTCGACCAAATAAACGAGACCCATCTTGTTCTTTTCGAAGAAGCGGCACGTACAATTGACCATCCAACGTCTCCACTTTCCCCAAGATATCGCGACTTGCATCATCATGAAGAGTAGTTACGTCTCGCTCAGTGACCGAAAACACTGATTTTTGCCACCACACGCCGACGTGGTGAGGATCCGCCACTAGAAGCTTAGCCGGCTGACTAGAATGAGCCGGTGGTAGATGTACGCACCGATTTACGAGATTCATAAGCATATCCGGGAAAATACCTCCTTTCATGCGAAATTTACGCGGTCGATAGAAGCACTGGACTACAAGTGGCGGGCCGGTTTCTGATGCGTGTTTGGAAGATGACGTTATTGCCGTATCGTGCGCCCATTGATCAGAAACTTGTATCAAATGTTTCATCTGCACGTCTAATGATTCTTTAAGATAGCCGCTGTACACGTCTGCAATGAGTGATTCAAACTTAATTGCCACATTTTCCTCCACCATGTCACCGTCATCTCCAAAAATCGTAGAGAGTGTACCATCCGCCGCAAACAAACAAACAGTATCCACATCTTTGCGAATTTGTTGTTTTACAAATTCAGCACGGTGTCGTAGAGTTTGGCTATCTGTTAGGGGGTGAGTAGACGACGATAGGGAGTCGAAAACGGTCTCGCGATAGGCTTGCTCCACTTCTTCTTTTCGTGCTTCTTTGTATGCTGTCCACTGGTATTCCATCGGCAAAAATCTCACATAATGTAGAATCGATGTGATGGAGAGTTTACGAAGCCGCAGCTCTTTTAGAACGGAGGGTCCAAGTAAACTTCCTAAATATCGGAACATCTCCTGGATACGATCGATGACAGCGTCATTCAGCGCAGAAACGGTTGGGCTCCCACGAGGCGAACTAGGGGCTGAAGTTGTGACGCTCTCGCTACTGGATTGCTTACTAAGCCTTCGGAGTAGCTTGGGTTTCCCTTTGACATGCTCTTCCACCATATTCTCAATCACCTCAAAGGTGTCGCGTGTGTCGAGATACAATTTGGCTGCCGGATGCATCCTCGGGTTGACATCTTCACCTGGTTTGGTCTCGCCCCCTGCTAGATCCACTAATCGCTGGATCTCCTCCAGAAGCTGCAGCACCACAAGCTGATCTCTGGAAATACTGTCAGACAGCTCCATAGTCCAGCAGCTTTCGTAGGACTGAATCACAATCTAATCAAATGAACGTGCATCGGTCGATCCTGGGCAAATGCTTGCTGGACTCTTCTCCAGCTCGTTCTTCTGCACTCGTGCTATGTGTAACAGTGCGTTGTCAGTAATTAGTCGCAGAGTTTTATCCAGATCATTTCAACGGCGACTTGTCCGAAATAGCTCCAGCAGTTAAACACTGCGACGTGAGAATATCACACTGGGTTGACAAAAAAACTAAAATGATTGATCGATAGATCAGTAGTTGCAGCATGTGGCAAACTTGGAGCAACGCAATAAAATAAAACATCGCACTGCACTGGGCAGTGCACTTCAAGGTCTCCGCTGCAATGCTGCACTCGTCCACAACTCGACGACAAATGGCTACATCTGCAACAAGATGTTCAGATGGAAAATGATTCTCCCTTAAATTGCAACTTTAGTTCATAGTTGCTACTTTAGGGTCCGGTCGGGTTGCACGGCTATGAGGTCAGAGCATACAAACACCCATATATTCGCTTAGCGGAGACATCAACCATGAGCGACGGCATGGGTCTCGGACTGGACCTGTCGGGGCTGGGCCAAGAGCCCATGGCGCCCGCCGTGGACGTGACGCAGCTCACGGAGGCCATCCGCAACATTCTCAAGGACGCGGACCTTGAGCAACTTTCGCGCCGCATGATTCGCAAGCAACTGGAGGCGCAGTTCCAGACGGACCTTTCGAGCTACAAGGAAGTGATCAACGCCACGATCTTGGAGGTCATCGAGCAGCAACAGGCCGACGAAGAAGAAGAGGAAGAGCCTGAACCGAGCGACGAGGACGTGGACGCTGATGACGAGCAGGAGGAGCGTATACCTCGCAAGAAGGCGGTCGTCAAGAAGAAGGCGCCGCCTAAGAAACGCAAGCGGAAGACGGAGGGGGAGGACGGCAAGAAAGCTGGAGGAGGCTTCAATGCACAGCTGAGCTTGTCTCCAGAGCTCGCACAGGTTGTCGGAGCGGAGACAATGGCGCGGCCGCAGGTCGTCAAAGCTCTCTGGGCCTACATCCGTGAGCACAATTTACAGGACCCGAACAATAAGAAGACCATCCTTTTGGACGACACGCTGCGTGGCGTATTCCAGCGAGACTCGTTCACTATGTTCAGTATGAACAAGTTCGTCAAGCGCCATGTGCGTAAACCCGACGACTTGCCGCCAGGCGGGTGGAGTCAGATCCCGCGCGACGGCGTGTCGAGTGACGAGGACTCAGAAGCGAAGGCTGCGAAGAAGAAGCCGGCTAAGAAGAAGAAGAAAGCGGCTACGACAGAGGATGGAGAGGACGACGGCAAGAAGAAGAGGAACAGCGGGTTCAATACGGAGCTGTCGCTGTCGCCCGAGCTGGCCTCGCTCACTGGCAGTGACCGCATGGCACGGCCTCAGATCGTGAAGGCATTATGGGCGTACATCCATGAACACAACCTGCAGGATCCGGATGATAAGCGCACGATTCTGCTGGACGATAGGATGAAGCAGGTATTTCAACGGGACTCGTTCACCATGTTCAGTATGAACAAGTTCATCAAGCGCCACGCACGCAAACCCGACGACGTACCGCCAGGCGGCTGGGCCGAGATCCCGCGCAACGGACTGTCTAGTGACGAGGATGAGGCCAAGACCAAGAAGAAGGCACGGAAAGACAACTAAGCAGTGAGCCACTGTGGCATGCTAACCCAAAGGTGCGAGCGGCTGCATCCGGCATATCAAACTAACGTGATTCTTTTGTATAAATGCATGGGCTGATGAGTTTCGACGTGCTAAATTGTGGTGTGCATGCAATACTGACATGTTCGCCAAAAACTTGACCAGCTTGACGTTCACCTCAATTTCAATTATTGCCACAATAATTGTTTTAACCATTACGTGGTACACACAGTTTTTTGTGAGCGTACCATAAGGTACCCTAATAATGGCCTCAGTTTGACTGGATCACGAAAGGGTAGCAACTCTATTGGACGCAGCAGACTGCAGAGACCGCTATGGACGCGTCCGTGATCGCCAGCTTCCGTGAGAAGGTGGTGCAGAAACCCGAGGTGTGTGTGACGTCTTGATCTGTTGCTGGAGTGTCTAGAGGTGCTGAAATTTACCGTGTATTGATCTGTGCAGTTGTTTTTCACTCCGTCGGAAGAGGTGGCAAAGGAGATTAAGGCGTTCGCTAAGCATGCATACGACCGAACGTCTAAATACCAGAGCAAGAGTGGCGGTGCTACGGCACTGGACGAGCTGTACGTGGACGGCTTCGACGCGGACCAGGTCTGGGAGCAGCTCCGTCTACTGAACGGCCCGTTGGTGACCGAGATGACACAGCGAATTCGTACATTCCACAAGAACCCGGACAATATTTTGCTATTCCCGTCAGAAAAGCAGGAGGAGAGTGAAGAAGAAGAAGAGGAGGAGGAGCAAGAGGAGGAACAGAAGGACAGCGACGCTGATAGCGACGAGAAGGACAGTGACGACGACGAGAATTCGGACGATGACACTGCCGACTCCGACGAGGAAGAGAAGGAGGTTAAGAAAAGTAAGAAGAAAGCTAAGAAGGCCCGCGATGTCGCCGAGGATGGCTTTTTCGACTGGGATGAGATGGATAAGGCAGCAGAAGAGGAAGAGGAGGAAGATGAAGACATGGACGACGATATGGACGGCGACGATAGCGAGAATGGTGAAGATGAAGATGACGACGATGAATCGGAGATGGAAGAAGATTCAGACGCCGAGACCGCGGAGGAGATGAAATACGACGACTTTTTCGGTGATGAAGATGAGGAAGGTGACGAGGGTGATGAAGAAGAGGAAGAAGAGCTTAATGACGTCGATATGCAGGACGGCGACAACGACGACGAGGAATACCCGACTATCAAGCGCTCGAAACCTGATGAGGACGAGAATGTCGACGACGAGGAGCTTGCTGAGCGCGGTATCATGTCGTCGCACCAGCGTCAGCGTCAACGTCTTCAGAAGGAGATTAAGGATCTGGAACAGGAGGCTATCAGCGAGAAGCCGTGGCTTCTGAAGGGTGAGGTGCGCTCTGCTGCGCGTCCAGAGAATAGTTTGCTAGAAGCGGTGCTGGACTACGACCGACCAGTGAAGGCTGCCCCTGTGATCACCGAGGAAGTGTCGATCGCACTTGAGGAAATGATCAAGAAGCGCATCTTGGAAGACGATTATGACGATGTGATCCGTAAGTTCGCTGGTAACGAAGAGGACCAGAAGAACAAGCTGGAGGAAGTGTCTATGGAGAAGTCGAAGGAGGGACTGGGTGAGATTTACGAGAAGGAATACATGAAGACAGCCATGGGCTTCGAAGCCGATGACGAGTCCAAGCAGGACCAGGAGGAGATCGAAGTGATGTTCAAGAGCCTCTGCTGGAAGCTCGACGCGCTGTCCAACTACCACTTTACGCCCAAGCCGGCCGTCAAGGAGCTGCAGGTCAAGCCTGCGGTGCCTGCTATTGCAATGGAGGAGGTGGTGCCGATCAGTGTCAGCGACGCGAACTTGAAGGCGCCCGAGGAAGTGTACGAGAAGAAGCGCAAGCGCGGCGAGGCTGTGCTGCAGTCCAAGGAGGAAATGACTCAGACGGAGCGCAAGGCGCTGCGCAACGCCAAGAAGCACGCACGGAGGAAGGAGAAGCGCCAGCGCGAGTTCGACGAGCGGCTGGTGGCCAAGCTCAACCCCGGACTGGGCAACAAGTACGAGAAGAAGAAGATGCTCGAGAGCATCGCTGGCGCCAAGAACATCACCACGGGCAAGCAGATCGAGGGCTCGTCCAAGCAGTTCTCCAACTCGAAGGAGTTCTTCACACGCCTGCAGGTATTGTACGCTTTGATTGCGCCTCGATGGCGTGTCTACTCTTCGTGAGCGTGTGTGTTAACCTATGCCATTTGTGTATCGTTGCAGGACGAGGTGCAGGAAAAAATCAGGAGTGCAAGCAGCAGCAAGTAGAGAGACGATGCCTCACGTTAAGCGGCAGCTGGCCGCGTCTTCGAGCAATAGAATGGATTTTGTGCATTTTGTACGTCGGGCTTGATCGTCGATGCTCTTTTGCCTCGTCCCTTCCTCGCCCACAGCTGCATACTGGACGCCTCATGATGAGGCTAATTGCCGTCATCCGTCCCGTTATCCAAGCTGGATGTGTCATTCTAGAACTGATTTGCGTGCGTATTTGCTGCGCCTGAGCACCGGCATCCTGGCATGATTTTGAAGCACAAAAATGAATCTCGGATCAAAGTGCACAGCGGCTATCTTGGCACTTGCAATTTGTATGCTCTTCACTAAGTACGATAGTGACGCAGGTGGTTGAAGGTGAAAAGATCGCAGCCACCACCGTCTCATTTCCGATTTTGCCGGCTTCCGACCAAGTTCTCCCACTCTCGTCTCAATTCGCACCATGCAAGTGAGCACGCGCAAATATTCTGGCGACGCTGGCGACACGAAGCCGGAGACGGAGGCCGTGTACGGCCACCCGCTCATGTGCGCGAGTCTGCCCTCGGACGTGTTCCCGCAGCGCTCTGTGCCCCCGCGCGTGGCGCACCAACTCATTAAGGACGAGTTGGCGCTGGACGGCAACCCCAAGATGAACCTCGCGTCCTTCGTGACCACGTACATGGAGCCCGAGGCCGAGGACCTCATGGTCGAGGGGCTGCGCAAGAACTACATCGATCTGGACCAGTACCCGCAGACGGCCGAGATCCACAACCGCTGCGTGACCATGTTGGCCAATCTGTACCACGCGCCGCTGGAGCCCGGCCAAAAGGCCACGGGCACGGGCTGCATCGGCTCCTCGGAGGCCATCATGCTGGCCGGCCTGGCCATGAAGCGCAAGTGGAAGGACCGCCGTGTCGCCGCCGGCCTGCCGTACGACAAGCCCAACATGGTCTTCGGCTCGAACGTGCAGGTCTGCTGGCACAAGATGTGCAAGTACTTCGAGATCGAAATCCGCGAGGCTGATGTGTCCCCGGACTGCCTCGTGCTGACGGCCAATCGCGCACGTGCCCTGCTCGACGAGAACACCATCGGCGTCAGCGCCATTCTGGGCAGCACGTTCAACGGCGAGTACGAGGACGTCAAGGCCATCCACGACATGTTGGTAGAAGAGAATGAGCGCAACGGTTGGAACATCCCGCTGCACGTGGACGCGGCCAGCGGCGGCTTCATCGCCCCGTTCCTCAGCCCTGAGCTCGAGTGGGACTTCCGTCTGCCCAACGTTAAGAGCATCAACGTCAGTGGCCACAAATTCGGCCTGGTGTACGCCGGCATGGGCTGGGCATTGTGGCGTGAGCCCGAAGATCTCCCGGAAGACCTGGTGTTCCACGTCAACTACTTGGGTGGAGACCAGTCGTCCTTCACTCTCAACTTCTCTAAGGGAGCAGGCAACGTGGTGGCCCAGTACTACAACATGTTGCGGTTCGGATTCGAGGGATACCGTCGTATTATGGAGGCCAGTATGGAGAACGCACAGCTGCTGCGTGGAGCGCTAGTGGCCACGGGTCACTTCCGTATTGTGGACAAGCAGCACATGCCTCTAGTGGCGTTTGCACTGATCGATTCGTCCCGTTACACGTGCTTCGACATCCAAGACAAGCTCAAGAGCCGTGGATGGATCGTCCCGGCCTACACTTGCTCCAGTGGTGCAGAGTCTCTGGCTATCATGCGTGTAGTTGTCAAGCAGAACTTCTCGTCGCACATGGCCAACATGTTGGTGCAGGACATCATGAAGGCCATCGAAGTACTGGAGAAACACCACGTCTTGGTGGACACGGCCATGTCGTCGCCCAAGGCCGAGAAGAAGCACTTCAGGGACATTGTCCACTCGCTCCAGGCCAACCTCAAGCACCAAAAGTCGGGCCTTACGACGCACGGTGTGTGCTAGAACTGTTCTAGCACACTATAGCGCCTGCAGACACGCTCAAAGTGCTGCTTCTTTCGCGCATTTTAGCTGTAGTTTCTACATGTAGCAGTGAACGACGCGCAGTTCACTTTTCGCAAGGAAAACTAAACATAACATGCAAGTATTCAGTCTTCATTTATACTACGTTAGTGTTTCTAAGCGTCTTCAGGCGACAGTGGCAAGTATCGACGGAGAAACTGCATGAGCTTCGCTGCAGGCTTGACGAATGGATCGGGGAAGTAGAACGTTGCCATGGCGACAAGCGCCTCGCAGAACTCGCTGTAGATCAACTCGAGCTGCTCGTCATTGCCTGGTGAAGCCTCTTGAACATTGCGGAACACGTTCATGGCTTGATCCATGGAAAATCGAGCGCGTATCAAGTGATAGTCCTGTACAAACGCTTGCCAATCGACCATGCGCATGTACTTGTTGATCCCGTGTCCAGTATGCCGTGGCTTTGGCTTCGCTATTTTACTTGCAGGCACCATGAGCTCGCGTTCCTTGGCACAATAGCGTCGGAATATGATCCGGATTGTTTGGGAATGACTGCTGATGGCGAGTTTTACGTCCGAGCGGTGCATCATAACTCGAAGGAGACTTTGGTTTTGAAGAGCTATCGGTAAATGATGAATGACAAAGTACTCGACACGTGCACTCAATGGAGAAATCTGCGGCTGGAATTGCTCGTTGCAAAGCTGAAGAAAAAGTTCCGCCAGGTCTTCAGGAGAGAAGAGTTGCTCGTATCCGTTGGCCACTAGTTCTTCATCTCGTAAGACGGGGAGGACGTGAATCTCCCGAGGTAAGCGAAGGATCTTTACAATGTGCCATAGATCGTCGAGACTCATGGCGTGTTTGATGTTAGCGCGGAACGGAGTGTACAGTCGACGTATAACTTGCTGGTGTTTCTCGAAGACGGCACGAACTTGAATGAGTTCAATGTCAGGGTCCTCTTCGACGCTGAATATCCGACGCATCGTGTTGTTTGTGAGGGAAATGCACTCGTAAATTTGCTCTCGATTGTCTGATGGTCCGACAGGATTCGTAGGTGCTGGAGATTCTTTTGCTTTTGACGAGTGAGAAGCCAGCTCGCTTGCTTGCTGCCACTGAGTGAGTCGGAGTTCTTGGAGCTGTTGGTGCATGGCATTGAAATCTTTCATCTTTATCGATGTGGTTTTCACACATTTGTGGATGATTTCAATACTTTGGGTCAGTTTATCAGTGAGTTCGGGTGAAAGGTGTCGAATTTTGGCAGTATGGTACGTGTTTCCGTCGCCAACAGGGTTACTCGCTCTTCGGTTAGATTTCTCTTTTGCTGGTGGAAGTAGCGAGCTGTGCGATGAAGGCTCAAACTGGTGCTGCAGTATCGGACGAATGGGAATTCCCAACGGCGTTCCTTGTCCTCTCAACGAATCTCCATTATTATCAGTTGAAGAATCCACCGCGGGTTTCTGCGTTAGACTACGAGACTGCACCACACCAGCAGAAATGAGCTGCTCGGATAGTTGATTCCACGTGTTGTATGCGGTAACAATCGGTTTGATGATCCGAAGCGAGTTATCCATCGGTTTAGTGGACTGTGGTATGATAGATTGGTCTACTGAAGGCATTGGAGAGCTCTGCGCTGGTGAGGACGTTGCTAGTTGATCTGTCACTGCATCCGGTTTATCCGCGTTATTATCTTGAGAATTTACGACTTCAGAGCCTACAGAGACCTTGGGTGGGCTCATGTAGGCGTTGTGTGTAAATGCGCTCATGTCGCCGGGAGAAAATAATAATGAACCATATCCAGTTGCGATGTGCGCAAGAAGTAGTATACTGAATCCGCACGAGTGGAGAGGAGAAATGTCGAAATCAGCTTCATGAAGCATTTCAAGGTTCTCAAGCAACGGTATCTGTGGCGGTGGGCGATCCTTGAGTGACAAGATCGATTGGCGTTGTGTAGACGCACGCTTAAACTGAGAACCACGTGACGCTGTCCTCGGTTTTTGCGCGGGTATACTTGTTATCCAGCTGCGCTTGACTCCGTTGATCACACCCAAGTCGCCTTTGTCTCTTCCTGCACACCCTTGGAGTGCCCTACTAGGCATAGACAGGGTCGGCACAAGGGAAATTTCGTGGCTTTCAAGCATCCGCGAGCTGAATAACTTGGAATGACTGGCATAATGTTCATCCTGAATCCGGATGGCGCGCAGAAGCTGCTCGTATTCTCGAGTCACTCGAGCGTTCTCGTGCTGACTCAGTGGTTTATCCTCTAACTCTCGAAATTGCGTTGAAATGAAGAGAACCTTCGCATTAGGTGCTTGTATTTGCGCACGAAGAGAGCTAAAGAACTTCGAAAACCTCCTGCTGGATAGTTCGTTGTGCGAAATCGCCCCTGCAACCTTCCTGTCAGAAGGACTACCTATTGCCGCTGTTACCACTGCATCTTGTGTCGATATTGTCTGCCCATTTTCACTAGGATCTGTTCCAATAACAACCGAGTTAGACCGCCCTGTAGTGGCGATAACTGAATTGGTTCTTCCTTCTTTAGTCGATGGCATCGTGGAAGACTTTCGCCTCAGCTCCGTGTTTCGTAGCCGTGCGATTTCACTTAAACATTCAAGGAACACAGAGGGAGTTCCTTGAGACTGCTCGTCGTATTCATCCATCAAATCTTCTTCTCGAACGGAAGCTTGTTGGAGAAATCCAACACCGTGATAACCCCGCAACAACGACTCCAGGATAAGTGGTGGAAGGCAAGCCACAGCTTCCACTCGTAGTTGACCTTCTTGACAGACCTGGGCCTCTCGACGGCGAGTTGTATCCAAGAACGTACTCGCAGCTTTAATCCGCAATTCTAGCTGTCGTGTCCAGTCCTCGGCTTGCTTGCGATCATCGCGCATTGCCAGGTTGTCAGCCTGTGCACTATCGCGCTGCATTGTGAGCTCGTCTGCCTGCCGTTTGACGACTGTCAAACTTTGAAGATCAATTTGCATTTGCTTTTGGATTCTTTCGATCCTGTGCCTGACAGCCTCGCGCTTCCATGATATAAACACTTTTCGGAGCATAGCCCTGGGAGCGCTGTTGAACCAGTTCGAGTAGTACGTGATATACTTCCTGTTGTTCTGGCCGCAGATCCAAATATTAGTGGTTGCTTTTCAAAAAGCAATAAACAAGGCGGTGACAAACCTTCTTTTGGACGACAGCCACAGAGTACCATTCGTGTAGGAGCATGCGTGCTAGTGCGTATGTGCACTCGGTCAAAAAGTGTCGGAACATGGAATACACTCTATCGATATCATCAGCTAGAACGTCATTGCGATCTTCCCGCCATTCCCTGGATATGACGTAAATGCACTGAGCACCGATCCAGTCCTTAAAAATTAAACGACTTACTTATCCTTTCGAAGTGTCTGAAGAAGACGTTTGTGGTGCTTGACCAACGCAAAATACGGTAAGCCATCACGTGTGTAGATGGATTGAACAAGCTCAGCACTCAGCACGCGAAACAAAGGTGCGTATGGGCCGAAATGCGGCGTGAGATCTTCTATTCTTTTCGAAATCGAAGATCAACATAATAGAGTAGTGAATTACGAGTCTTTATGCGGATCAATACAGTGACGACAATATTGACGGAAACTTACCAAGAACTTTGCAGCAAAAGGTTGTGATCAATTCGTTAGGTCGCGGAAGGTTAGCTGTCCGTCGCTGCAGCTCCTCGAATCCTACCTCGTACCGGATGGCTAGTAAACCACCGTCGACAGCATTAAAACTCGCACAACAAAATATCGTTAAAATTACTCAGGAGTTCCCTACCAACAGATTTAAAATTGCGTCGATCGGCTTCAAACTGTCGAAGCCATTGGTCCATGAACAAACGGGCAATAGCTGATTGGTTGAGCTCCGCCAATGGGTCCGCCTTCACCGCATCATCCATCGTTTGTATCAACTCATGTAGAGGCAGCTCTGCACCTCGAGGTAAAGTACTCGGCGTTGTTGTGGATGTAACTTGATTAGAGAGTTCTGGTTCAATGTGGTGCTCCGTTCTTGTCAGCATCGGTAGCTTGGATAGACGGAGTGATCTCTTTGGAGAAAATACACCCAATTGGAGTTTTCGCCGCCTAGGATTTTGCTGTTGTTTTCCATTGCTAGCACCACCTCCAGCAGTGCTCGGCTTCCGAGCCAGGAACGTTAACGGATTCACGGTATTGGCTAGACCTAATGCATCAGGGCGGGCCTTGATACTCCTCACCTGCGGCTTGACAGAGTACCAGTCACATGGCAATGTAGCTGAGCGGCTTGGAAGCCGCACTCGAGGGTTCTTGTTGCCGCTGGAGGCTCCGAGGTGCTGCATACCTTGGTGCATTGTTCCATAAACGCGAACAACGTTATGTATTTCCGAGTAAAATGGGAATGATGAAAACGTAAATTATCAGATCAATGTGTACATTTTGACCAATAACAGTCGAGTAACCCGGTGTTGGGTTACTCGACTGTAGTAATGTGTTCTTACAGTATCCTCACAATTCATTTTGGGCATTTCGCATGTGTGGGCGGGCACGGTGCACATTGGCGCGCGAGGAGGTGGCGGAAGCTGCAGGCGTCGCGCCCGACGAGTTTGTGGATGGAAATAAATGTATGAGGAGAAAGTTGAAGCTCGCTGCTGACTGAAGGCGTGCTTTGGCTGGCTGGAAGTTGCAACGAAATGCTAACGTTGTGGTCACTTTTTGCCTGTGATTTTTCTACAGATAACCCCGTTGAGAATATGGGACCCGGAAGATACGGCCCGATCCTTTTGCAATGTGGCGGAGCAAAGGTGGAAGGCGAAGCGAAGATGAAGACGCGACTGCAGGCTATGCGGGTTCGTGCTGGGCTTTGCTGCTAATAATGCTTGTTGACACTTTTTTTTTAATACTATCTGGGTCCTTTGTTGGCGGATTATACATATAGTGGGGACTAGTTCCGTCCTTCACGAAGGCGAATGCAAAGCCAGACCACTTCCTGATGTTTAACGCTAGGTACAAAAGCATCACAATGGAAATTACTGAACCGAACGTGACATTAATTTTTTTTTTTATAATGTCCGTATTACTACAGATCCGAAAATCTACGGGAGCGGCCAGCTTTTAAGCGATTGTTGGAGTCAAAACGATGTGTGGTGCTATGTGAAGGGTAAGTGAGGTAAATAATTGCTTCTTTGAAGTTGTGCTCGGTAAAATTATCGGATACAATTGTTACTGATATACAAACAGGTACTACGAGTGGCAGCAAGTGGATAAACGCGAGAAGCAGCCGTATTACTTTTATCGGGAGGGCGTTCCAATGAAGGTGAGTTTTTTTTCCAGTCCGACGAGTTGTATTCGAGGTAGTTGTATTTGACAATCCAAGTGTGTTCAGTTTGCAGGCCTGCACGATCAGTGGAAGAATGAATCAGGAGAGTTGATGTGTACCTACACCATTCTCACAACTGCGGTTGCTCCAGAGCTTAAGTGGTTGCACACCCGAATGCCGGTAGGGAGAGTCGCTTGGAATATCCCACCGCCGAGACGATCTAAAGTCACGTGTGCCGTACTGCATCAGGTCATTTTGTCGGATGAAGGAGTTGATCGGTGGCTTTCGGGCGCGAAGTTTGAGGATCTCAAAGACTTACTAGCGTCATATCGCTCCGCTGATTTGAAATGGCATCCGGTGGACAGGAAGGGTAAGCTACAGTCTTAGCAAAACTATACAGTACTGCAATGTTTGGTGGTCGATTTTTCACTGATCGCGTTCAAACGGTGATAACAATGTTGTACTGCAGTTGGATCGATGCAATTCCAAAGCGAGGACTGCGCCAAGAAGGTCAATATCAAGCATGCAGGTATGCGTTGCACCCCCTTGCTAGACACGTACACTACCAAGGTGACTAAACTTGAACCTCTCGACTTGACTCTAATTCCAGGTGATATTAAGGCCTTTTTCGGAGTTAAGACAGAAAAACAAGAACCCAAGATATCTTCTCCAGCTACATCAGGGAGTCAAATCAAGCCTGAGGAAGAAACATGCAGTGATACTGCTGCCGCAAGCCCCCCGTCCAAGAAAGAAGAGCACGACAGCAACGCAGACACAACACCCAAGAAAGAGTTCGAACAATTCCCCACCAAGTTCGTTCCAGCGTCAGCGCTTCTCAATAAACACTCTGATGACGAATATCAAGACTCCCCGCCTTCAAAATCTCCCAGCAAACGCCGCCGCCTCTCGTCTCCAACCAAATCGAAGTCTCCAGCCAAAAAGAGCAAGCAGCCAGGCCCAAAACAGTCATCACTGGATTTTTTTTTCGGCAAGGGTTCGAAATGAAAGTCCTTCTTTTAAGTTCCACTCAAAAACACCTTTGACTTATCTACTTTCGCTAATTGCATTCTAATATAGCCCGAGGTGCCAACAAATCAAAACCAAGAAGCAATGAGAGTAAACTACCACAACTGCACGAGAGAAGAAGAATACTGCGAGTGCGGATCGTCTTACCTATGATTGTTCGCAGTGCCGTGTACGAATGCAAGCGCTACTCCTCAAACGACTTCCAGCTGGTGATCGAATGCAGCAACTACTTAAAGCGCTATCTCCAAGTGAATCTGGGAGCGACTGGAAGCAGCATGACGAACCTACTTGCCTCTGTGACGCAAATCAGTCTCGGATCGAGTCCATCCAGCGCAACAAATTGGTTCACACATCGGGCATGAAAGGACTGCCCGACCGTGACCAGTTCATCCAACATTATGAGAACGAGATGCGGTTTGACTATTAGAAGTAGCGTTATTATTTATTTATTTTATCGAAAGCCGATTCCAAATTAAACATCTACTTGAAAAATTCTGATGAGTCAGAGAACTCCGCTTATTGCGACCCCTACGTTTCAAGATGAACCTCGTGATGCCCATCAAAACGGTCATAACAAACAACCAGTATCATCGCCTTGTGGATTATTATCATAGCTGCCCACGTCACTTTCGTGCTAACCAAAGCATCGGTGCATCAAAACGCCACTACGACCAATACCGGTATTCACTTGTGGGAACGACAATGCAGTATAGTTTGTATTGCTGTGATCGAAAGGATACCTGCCAGTGGCAGGCTGCCATCAGTTCTAACGATAAGTATGCGTACGTTAATAACGTTTTTTTTATTCAAAGCAGTGTTGATCAGGATAGACATATTGGATTCCATAACGAAGACTGCATCACGGAGTACAATACTGAAGTATCAAACTAGGGCCTTTCAACTCCATTCCGTTATCAAATGTGCTAGGGCCTTCTTCGGAGTGCAGGCAGAAAACACGGGCCCAAGGTATTAAATCCACCCACGCAAGCTCAAGTCCACTCAGATAGGAAACATCCAGCGATACTGCCACGCGTTCCCTGCCCACGAAAGACAGGATGACTTAACCTCGACAAGACACCCTGAAAACCAAAGCCTCCTGGATTCTCAGCAAATGCTTCAACAATGAAAGGCAAGACTCTCCACCGTCAACGACTTCCAGCAATCGGTTGTTCGTCTCCAGTCCTAAAAGCACATAAGTTGAAGGCTTGCTTGCCATCGGGTGACAGTATCGCTATCACGGCCGGGAAAATGAGCGTAGGCCAAAAGAAGAAGAAGAAGAGCGATTGCTGTTAGGTGGCGCCCAACGCAACGGAGTAGTAAACGTGAGCCCAGGAGCTTATTAGTGCAATCGAGTATAATTACATCTACAATTACGACTTGCAATTTTGGGCATTTTTTCGGCAAGGGTCCAAAATGAGACCCTTTTCAAACTAACATACCCTGCCTTAAACATTTTTTTGGAAATGTAAAGCCTCTTGAATTAAATGAAGTCCCCCTCAAAAACTGTTGACCTCCATTCCGCGATTGCCGCGGTCGTCCGAGCTTCGGCGTTGTCAACGTTTCTTGGCCGCCACTAGTTGTCACTTGTCCGCACCAGTGGCATATTTATCTTTTACTGTGTCTTGCGCGTGCGGTGGTGCAAATTACAGCTCTATATACGCAGTATACGTCTCATAGCTACAGACAGCTCCGACTTCCAGCATGGAGATGAACAAGGGAGAGGCCGAGAAATGCCTCGAGATCGGAAAGAAGCACTTACGTCTCGGTAACTGGGAGAAGGCCATCAAGTTCTTTGAAAAGTCACATCGTATGTATCCGCTGCCAGGCGTGGAAGCGATGCGTGATCGAGCCAAGGCCGAAATGGAGAAGGCGTCGACAACCAGTGCACAGCCCACGTCGCCACGTGGCGCGTCATCAAATGCTGGAATGCGACACCGATCAACTCCAGCCGCGCCATCGAGATCTCCGTCATCGGAGCCCTCGCGGCCGTACACGACCGAGCAGCTGCAGATGGTGCGCAAGATCAAGGCTTGTAAGAATCATTACGAGGTGCTGTCCGTGCAACAGACTGCCACGGATAACGAGGTCAAGAAGGCCTATCGCAAGGTGAGCGTTAAATATTGCCGGTTAAATGATGACGTTTAGCTAACATATTGCTGTTGGCTGTTGTATAGTTGGCCCTGAAGCTGCATCCGGACAAGAACAGCGCTCCAGGAGCGGAGGATGCGTTTAAGGCTGTAGGAAAAGCGTTTGCGGTTTTGAGCGACCCCGATAAGCGCGCACATTACGACCGGTATGGCGATGATGCGCCCGTGCAGCAGCAACAGCAACATCATGGACGTAGATACGCCCAGGAAGACGATATCACACCGGAAGAGATTTTCAACATGTTCTTCGGCGGCGGCTTCCGTCCACGTGGACGGCGGCCACAGCAGCACCAAGGCCATGGACATCAGCAGGAACAACGTGGTGGTATGGCCAACCTGGCCCAGTTCCTGCCACTGTTGCTGATCTTCCTGATGTCGCTGCTCTCGATCCCATCGACCCCCGAAATGCCGTTTAGCTTAAACCCGACGCCACAGTTTAACGTCCAGCGTGCGACGCAGATGGCCAATGTGGTGAAGGGTATCCCGTACTACGTAGAGCGCGATTTTGAACAGCGGTACACGACCCACTGGCGCGATCTCTCACGGGTAGAGCAAATGGTGGAGCAGGCACATGTGTCGAAGCTGTCGGAGAGCTGCGAGAACCTTAAACTGCGGCAGAAACGGATGATCTACCGCGCCCGTAACTCTCGCAGCGAAGACCGTGAAGCCGCAATGCGTAAAGCGCTGGAAATGAAGATGCCTCCGTGCGACGAACTGCGCAAACTCCGACGAACGCGACGCTATTGATCACGGAGACATAACCGTACGCAGGAGATCTACAGTCAATCATTCGGTTTTAGAGAACGGAAATGGGGACGATATGTAATCTCCACGTTCGAGATAATAGGACACCGGCAGTCGGGCAATAGCCACCACGTCAATACACATATGAAGCAATATCTACTCGGGGCTGTCAATCTTTTCTGCCGAGTGCTTGATGCTCACTGAGCCTTGCTCAGTGTTGGCAACTTTGTCTTGAAGTGCGTAGGTTCAGAGTATTCCTTCTCAGAACAAGCGACAGTATTGTCTAGTTTAATACATATTTCCCTCTAAACAGTCATCGTCATAATCATCGTATCCGCGACATTCCTAAGTTGAAAGTCGAGCCAGGACCGACAAGGGGACGAGACGAGAATGGCGTCGAATGAACTGGCGGCGATCCTAGCACGGCGCCGCGCCAAGGCCGGAGGGGAGAGCGAACCTCCTGTTCCAGCAGTGGAACGTAGTGCTCCCCCTGCACCGGAGACGGGCTCGTCGGCTGCTAGAAGCTCGATTGCGGAACGGATCGCACGCCTCAAGCAGCAGAGCGCGGCCGCCAGCGCCGCTGAAGGAGCGCCCCCTGCACCACGATTCAATCACCCGTCACCAGCCTCGGAGCCGTCGGAACAGCTTCTAGCGAGTAACAGCAGCGTTGGTAGCATGAGCGACGCGAGCGTAGCGTCAGCGGCCTCGGAGCCGGTTGACACGTCCGCAGTAGTGGCTGCACAGGAAGCTGCCGGCATCCGTAAAGCTTCCAGTAAGATCCAGCAGCTACAAGGCAGTCTGGGGATTAATGTGAACCCATTCGGACGTCCGGGTGGAGCTCCCAGTGGAGGATACCGCAGTGGCCAAAGGGAGTCTATCATGAGCACCGGAGAGGAGCAATACGGACACACGCAGCACGCCATGGGCGTCGCCATGCCCGGCATGACGGGCTCAGCCATTCCTATGCCCGGTTTGGCAAAGGGGGGCTTCAGATTGCCAGGAATGGCAGCTGGAGGCGAGCAGAGCGCTGAAGCCCCGGCAGCTCCTCTGGATGACTCTCATGTGAGTTGGTTTTGGATTGATATCTTTGAAAGCCATATGCTGCAGTACTAACTGAACTGATGATTGAATAGACTACGATGAACCGTGTTGCAGGACCCAAGCGCCGTGGACCGACACGACCGCCACCAGGAGCTTTCCGAATTCCGGTAAGAACACGTTGTTGACTATGTGGGTAGAATTTCATGAGCTGACTGTGGTATTGTGATCATTGCAGGCGATGACTGCACCGATTATCGATAACGTCGAGCCTTCAAAAACTCCTGCATCTGAATCTGCTGTTGCCACTGCGCCTGCACCCGCTGAAGCTGAGCCCAAGGCTCCAGAAGCTCCAGTTTTGGTTTCACCGCCGGCACCCGCTCCTGCCAATTTGTTTGGAAACCCGTCTCCAGAACCTGCTTACTCTCCAGCTCCGGTTCAGGCCCCCGTTGCCACACCGACACCAGTGCCCACACCGGCACCGGCACCAGCACCCGCTGCCCCTGCTGTCACGGCGACACTGCATAAGGCGCCGGAACCCGAGGTGAGCCAACCCATGAAGCCTTACCACATCGAAGATGATGATCCGTATGCACCAAAGTACGATACTCCCTCCGAGCAGTACTCGTATGCCCCCGCAGGATTCCCTAGTGCTCTGATGGCGAATTTCTCTATGGACGAACTGACACTCGATGACAAGCCAAAGCCCAAACCAGCGACCGCGTCGACTCCAACTTCGACGTCTGCTTCGTCTCTCTTTGGCACGCCTGCACCGGTTTCAGAGCCTACCCCGAAGCCTTCGTCACCTCCTCCTGCTGCACCGGTGGAAACTCCTAAGCCAGCACCAGCACCAGTGTTTACCCCCGCACCTACTCCAGCTCCTGAACGGGTTCCATCCCCGACTCCTGTGCCTGCACCAGTGGAAGTTGCAGCACCAGCTCCAGCGCCGACCCCTGCCCCGAAGCCGATGGCCACACCTTCTCCTGTAGTGTCGACACCAGCACCTACCGCTCCAACCCCTGCTCCAGTATCTGTGGCTCCCACACCGTCACCCGCTCCAGTGTCAACACCTGCACCGACGTCAGGTTCGTTCCTTTTCGGTGCTGCCGCTGCAGCCGCGGACGATGACGAATCGAGCGAGAGCGACTGGAGCGATGATGATGGAGGAAGCCAATCGTTATTTGGTGCGCAGAATGCAGCTCCCAAACCTGCCGCTGCAGCTCCTGCCCCAGTCTTAGTTACACCGCCACAGCCCACGCCAGAGCTTCACCAGGCTTCAGCTCCCGTCAGCGGCAGCCTCTTCGGTGAACCGTCCAACGCACCAGCACCGGCCGCTGCCGCTCCAGCCCCTGGTTTCGTGAAGGCCACACCTCAGACTGCCATCCCACCGGCACCTTACAGTTCACTCTTCGGCGGTGCTGTGAGCAGCAGTGAAAGCGAAAGCGACAGCGACGATGAAGGCGGTCTTTTTGGTACCGGAGTGCCTTCGAAGCGGTAAGCTCCGCTGCAACTGGAATCAACACAAGAGACGGTGTGTCATGGAAGTACGAATAGGCAGACATAGAGGGAGGTTTGCTCACTTGCTCACTAGTCAACAAGCAGCATTGACCGTCCAAGTGCTACAAGGTTACGTGAATCTTTTTTTCATTTTTTTGTTACGAAATTTGGGCAACATTTTTGCTGTGCCATTTCTTGCTCGATTTTTATTGTCTGCACATGTGCTGGTCTTCACTCCACGTTAGCAGTAAACGGGTAACGCGACATCTTGACAACTCAATGCAACCAGGACAGAAACGCTGACGGCACGACACCAACATCATATCGAGAGCAGGAGTCGGGGGAGGGAAAGCAGCAGCAAACACGGCGTCTCGACATCAAAAACGCAACTTCCATCGTCTACCGCTAAAAAATATGCAGAATATACACATATGCAAAAGTGAAAAAGCAGTCAATATATATCGGGCAAAACGCCAAGCCACGGACGCCAATGTGTTTGCAGCTGCAAAGTCCCGCCAAATCCTCCTTTGCCTTCGCGTCTTCATCTCCATCATCCATGGCACCAACATCGATCATCCTGTGCAGGTCGGATACGCGCTAGTTCTACACCTCGTCCCGTTGCTGCGACAGATCGTCATTCATCGCCTACCACTGCTGGGCAGGTGCGAGCTTCTCCGTGTTGATGTACAGCATGTCTTCGATCTTGAAGTAGCGGCCCCAGAAGTAGGCCTTGGAGCCTCCAACAGCTCCCTTCTGGCCCTGCGCGGTCACCAATCGCTGCACGGGCAGATAGGCTGGCGAGTCTGGGTGCAGGAACGTCTTGCGCGTACGGGCCTTGTTGTACACCAGCATAGGGTGGATGGTGCTCAGCGAGCCGTCAGCCTCCACGGCCACTTGGATCTTGTAGATCTCACCGAGCGAGCCCTCGGCATCGCCCTCTTCGTTGGTGGTCATTCGGATCACAGCCTGGTACGGGAACTCCTGCAGCTTAGAAGCAGGTTCATCTAGCTTGACGGGCAGCCAAACCATGTCGTCTGTGGCCCCAGAGGCTTCGGATCCGCCCTCACGCAGCGACTTGGAGTCACCGCCAACGGTCATGAGCTTTACGGGTGTCTTGTCCTCCTCCGAGGGCGAGTTCATGCCCAACTTGTGCATGTACCGCTTGACACGCTTAAACGGAACGCGAGCAAACTTGCCGCCATGTGACAGAACCTGGTCGTGCACGCGCTTGACGCCGAACTCGGGGTGTGCAAACTTGACAGCCTTGATTAGAGCAGTGAGCTCGTCGGCGTCCACGTCGTCGGGACCGCGCGAGGGCGATGGAGACGGCGACGAGCGTGGAGGCGAATGCTTGGGAGTCTGCGGCGCGGAGCCGTTCTTCTTGGGAGTTGCGCCGGCCATGGTAATGTAGGCGGTATATGAAGAGCTACTCAATGAACTGCGCGAGTTGAGGACTGGCGCAGAGATATCCTATCCGGGGGGAAGATCGGAAACTGAGTTGCGAGCTCTATAACATATGAGCTGGAAATTTTGGCTCAAAAAATACGGAAGACCGTACTTAAGCAAGTGAAATGAGCCCAGGTTTACCTATTCTCACGTCACAGATTTTGTTCGGCGACAGAAATCGTACATGCGTCAACATGATGAAGATATCTTAGAGGAGTGGCTGTCGCTGACAGCATTCCGAACAATTCGAACAGGTTTGAGACTGTCCGTGCTACTTGTTTAAAAGAGTTTACGGTCTGTGAAAAGACTCAAAAGATCTGCTAGCTAACCTTTTGCAAACGTCTCGATACATGGAGTGCAAGGCATTTCGGTGGTCAACATGTAACCATAAACTGAGCATGGGCTAACTTAGCATTGCTCAATTGTTCCCATCAGGGTAACGTCCTTGCCGTACACTTCGTAAGAACCAACGCCATATTGGCCCTCCGAAGGCAGCGGTGACCAGGTACTGTACACAGTGTGAGCGATCCACAGCCATTCAGGACGTACTAGACTAAGAAGGCATCCTGCAGTGAAGATACCTTTACATTCCCATTTCGGGCTCCCCATTCCGCAAAATGGGCAATCTGATCTTCACCTTACCATTGAAGCGGTTCGACACCGGCTCAATGGTCTGAGCCCTGCGCTGAACGCCTTCTGCGTTGCGTCTGCATTGCGTCGCTGCCTCAATACAAGAACGAGTGGCTACGAGAGCGTCTTTTTCATGTGCATGCATCAATAGTGGGTGCTCGGCGAACACTGCTCGCAGGGCTCACCCAGTTGCCGCACACTGGAATGACAACTCGGTTCAGCTGATACCGTACTCACCATGCCACGAGAGACTTGCCGTGTAAAGGAATTCTCAATTGAAGATGAAAGAGGAAACTTGGCAAGTGCAAGCTGTCAATAGCCTACGCTGCAAAGTGTCCTCAACGCTTACGGGCAGCTTGATATGCGGCGAGGATGAGTGAGTTAGTAACTGGCATAAGCAAGCAATGGTCACGACCGTCATTTTCCTGCCACGTCAGTGTCGCCACAACGAGTGTGGTCGAGGTGATCACTGCCTGCACGCGAAGCCACCTCGGAGCGAAAGGAGAGGGTCTTATTGTGCAGAAACCGCTCCAGAAAGCAAAAGAGCTATCATGTATGTACACCTGAAGACGGGCATTTCTGAATTTCGCCGTCCAGACGCTCTCTTGCAAAGCGAGCCACGGTTGCGCCAGCGCGGCGTGCAATCGTCAACGGCTCGCTTTCCAGCAACGCTTTTGTATGGATCACGCCGAGAACGTCATTGGACGGTGATGCGTGGAGCATACAGCGGAGACCGCTCTCACCAAGCAGATTTCCTTGGTTTAATCGTTCATCGTTGTGTCCCGGGATTGTGTCGCCTGTTGATAGCGCTGGAAGAGCGGACTGCAGCCCGTCAAACAGTGAAACAGCTGGAAGTACAGCGGCGACTGGGCCGAGGCGCAAGTGACTGGCTTGACTGACTGCCGTGGCGCCGAATTCGCACTCCGTGCTCACCCAACGCTCGACGTGCACACTATTACTCGTATTAGTATCCGACTTGTTCAAACTGGATATTTGTATACAGTCTCGCAGGTTTGACGCAGAATTGTAAAATGCATTCTACTTGTGGGATTTGTTTGCACAGTGGTATAAAGTCTCTTCACGCTTCGATTGAACAACAGCTCTCGTTTAAGTTTACCTGGCGTGCTAGCTCCCGGTTAGGTTCGTTCGTCGCCTCATACAAAGCGCAAGTCAAGCAAGAAGAAGACCCCAGCCAGAGGTAAATCCGCGCGCGCGGTGAAAGACTGATTACTGCGGCAAGAGCGCGCTCCACGGGTCGGCGCAAGCGTGAGTGTCCGTCTGTCAGTGTCCTGCACACACACACACATACATCCCTTCGCGCTCGTAGCCAACAGCCATGCCCAAGAACAACTACGACGACGATGAGGACGACGATCTGCTCATGGCGTTGCAGAGCATGGAGCCATGCGGCAACTGTGGTGCAGAGGGGGCCAAGATTCCCTGTATGAGCGGCTGTGGAGAGGTCTTCTACTGCTCCAGGGTACGTCGACGTAAAATACCGTTGAAATCAAGCCGAGGAGACTAACTTTTAACCGTCAAATGACCGCAGGAATGCAACATGCACCACGCGTCGGCGCATCGTCTGCGCTGTCGAAACTTGCGTTGCTCCAAATTCAATGACTCAGAGTGTAGGTCTTTTTGCTATAGTTTCTAGCTACCAACAACGTTATTAACATAGTTGCTTTTTTTTTGCTGCAGCTGAGTCTGATGAAGACGACTCGGATGAGTATGAGACGGACTCGAGTGCCGAGTATGAGACGGACTCTGATGAGGACGAGGAGGAAGAAGAAGAGGAAGAAGAAGTCAAGCCGAAGAAGAAGAAGGGCAAGAAGAAGGGACGTGGCCGTTCCAAGTCCCGACGAGTCAACAGCTCACGCAGTGTCGAGTCTTCGGGCAGTACACTCTCGGTTAGTGGAATATTGAGGCTTGCATTGCTGTGTTTTCGAACCCCTTTAACCTCATTTTTTGTGTCATTTCTTGCAACAGCGGAAGGTCAGTCTTGATGCTGATGTGGAGAAACGTATCGAGGAGAAGATCATGAAGCGACTCAAGAAACAGGAAGAAGCGCGTATCGCTCAGGCGATCGAAGCTCGCATGCGCGCGGAGAAGGCCAATTGGCGGGACGATGAGATGAACCGCATCATTATGGAAATGCGGGAACGTTTCCAGAGCGAAATGTCCTCAACGACCTTCTGGACGGCCTTGGCGAAGAAGAATGGACTGGAAATGGGCTCACAGGAGATGTTGACACTGCAGAAATCCATGGAGCATTCGTTCTTGGCGTCCAACCCGCAGTCTGAGGACAAGATGGCTGCTCCTATGTCTGCTGAAGAGGCTGTAGCTGCTGGAGTTGCTGCGATCGATGGATCCGAGGCCACAGTCAGTCGTACGCGTAGTGTGTCCAAGGAGTCGTCCTGGAACAACGCCTGTGCTGCGTTCGAGGCATTAAGAGTTGTCGTCTGGAAGCACAGCTTCCTGCCGCGTCTGCAGTTCCGAGCAGATGACTCGACGGGTATCTGGAACACCATCATAGAGCTGGACGCTGACGAGTCGTTCGCACATATCTGCGTGGGTGACAAGCTGTTGTCTATCAACGGACGAGCTATTGACGACTCGGTGTGCACCGATGACGACCTGAACGACGTGTTTGCAGCTTACGCATCGCCGATTATTATGAAATTCGAGGCAGGGGACCCATCTGCGGCGAACTGCAAGGTGCATGACTACACAGTGACGTGGTCGAACGGCCCGCTGGGTGTTACGCTGAAGGATGACTGCGCTACACAGAAGATTCCAATTGTTAACCGTTTGACCAAGAAAGCTGGATCAGTGGCTGTTAAACAGAATATCGCGATTGGAGATGTGCTGGTGGCTATCAACAACATCGACACAATCCAGCTCGGCTGTTCGCTGTCCATGTCGATCCTTAAGAAGGTGCAGTTACCGGCAAAGCTACGATTCCGTGGCGTGGGTGGACCTGGTCCTGCATCAACGTCCCATAAGGAGTCAGCTCCGCAGGTGCCGCAGCGTAGCAGTGTGACTGTCTCGCGTCAACCGAGCTCGTTAAAACCGGAGAACGGCAATACACATGTCGAAGAGCGTACACCGTCAGTGATGAACTTCAGCATGAGCATGTCTCGACCCAGCAAATATACGATTAACTGGGGTGAAGGACCTTTGGGTCTTACGATCATTCCTGGTCTGAATGAAGGTGATCTTCCAGTGATCAAGAAGGTTACGGGTACAGGTAACTCGGTTGGTATCGACAAGGCACAGGTGGGCGACTTCTTGGAGAGTATGAACGGCATCGAGACGGCTACGATGCACTTCGAGAACGTGGTTTCGTATCTGAAAACAGCGCCTAAACCTGTGTTGCTGCGCTTCCGTGCTGCACTGGACGATGATGATTCAAGAGGTCCGTCTTCGTACCGTAGTAATGGCACAGCGCTATCCGCTAAGAGCGATGCCAGCTATACACCGAGTACGCATTCGAGTTACGACAATGCTCCAGTGCACATGAGTCCGCCTGAGCCAGCGCCGATGCCTGCTCCTACTCCCAGTCATGAGATCGTGAGGCAAGTATCACGTGAGGCACCGAGCGATGTGTACAAGGTGGTGTGGGGATCGGGCCCACTGGGTCTCACTATCGACGCGAAACCGCAGACGGGCGCATTTATTAAGCGCATCGCTGCTCAGGGCGCAGCGGCTCACCTCTCTCACGACTGTGTCGGTGACGATGTGACCCACATTAACGACATGGACGTGTCGCACGTGGCCTTCCAGGACATCGTGGCACATCTGAAGAACGTACCACGTCCTGTGACGCTCTTCTTCAGACGCAAGGCTGCCCAGTCTCATCATGAACGACAGCACTCGTACTCCTCGAGCTCCAGTGGCAGCTCTCCGACAAAGTACGAAAGTCCTACCCCAAGCCACAGCAGGAAAGCAGCATTAGCTGCAGCAGGCGAGGACAACGGCGTGCAGTTCTACAACTTGGTGTGGCAGGATGGCACTCCGCTGGGTCTTTCGTTGCGTGGAGCCGACAACACGTGCGAGTACCCTTACATTACTCGCGTGACAGGCACAGGAAGTGCGGCGCATTTGCCGCAGTCTGCGCTGAACGACTGTCTGATCTCAGTGGATGGACGTAGCGTGCATGTGCGAGACAAGTCCTTCGAGGAGGTTATGACTCTACTCAAGGTGATGCAGAAACCCTTAACGTTAAAGTTCCAGGTGCGTAACGTGGGCGGAGCTCCTCAGTCTCGTGCACCGGCACCGCCTCCACCCGCACCGGCACCAGTGCAGTATCAGCAGCGGACACCGTCGCCTTCACCTTCACCTCCACCACCCCAACAGCAGCAACCGCAGCAGCGAAAGGTGATAAAGACGCAAGAGTCGTACACATGGCGGCAGAATCGAGCTCCTCCTCCGCCGGTACCTGCTCAGCAGCCAATGTCGCAGTCGTATAACTCGAGCTCGTCGCTCCCCAGTGGGCACAGTAGTAATAATCTTAGTAGGAGTGTCAATTCCATGGGTAGCGACCGTGGTCTGGGCGGTGGTGTGACTCCGGGCAACGAAAACAAGTTCAGCAGCATCCAGGCTCCCTTCCTCGTGCAGAACAAGCTCTCGACTGGCCGTCGACAAAAGATGCTCAAGGGTCTCAAGAAGTAGACAGAGACGACCAGCGCTATCGGCTTTTTTAAGACCGTGCAAGTTGTTGACAACGGCGTAAAGGTGAAGAGCGGAGAGGAAGGAGAAGAAGAATCTTACAGGGAAGACTGAAGACATCAGCACGACAAGCAAGCATGATACAGAGAGAAACAAAATCGAGATGGCGAGCAAGAATCACAGCGCAGCATTTTTTTAAGCACTCATCGTCTGGTAGAGGCCCGTTGGCTGCCAGCTTGGTTGTCTGTCTCGGGTTTTTCAGGTATATGGGTGAAAGTGAGTTAACATTGCATTGTGTCTTTGCATGAGTGGGTGTTTTGTGTGAGTCTCTCTTAGAATGGCCGACTCAGTCGAGGGAAGTAGTGCTGCCATTTCAACTCCAGAACTGAAGGCACAACACTACAAGGCATGGCAGTCAGCCACGGAATACTACATGTAGTACATGCCAGCGGATTCTTAAAAAGCTTACCCGTAACGTCTGCGCAGCTCTGTCTGTAGATCCGCAGCGAACTGTTGACGCCATTACATAGTAAGTGTACGCACGGTTCATGACGCTGTGCAGGATAGCGTACCCTTTGTATTGCTGTTATATGTCTTGTGAGTTCTTGTTCAAGTTGCTGCTTCACCTGTTGCCAAACATCCAGAATTCAAGATCAATACGATGAAGGCAGAAGTACTCGCCCTGTTAGAGTGGATTCACGTACGTGTTCGAGTGTGGTTCGACGCTCTTGGCTTTGTGCGAGTTGTTCCTGTAAATGTGCAACTTGTCCCCGTGCAAGTTCCAGCTGAGCTTGGAGTGCCTGGTTGTCAGCTTCGTGGTGCTGGTTTTTCGCTTCTAGTTGCACGATCTTCGCTGCGCTTTCTCGTGCGGCATCGGAGTAAATTGCTTGCGAGAGTGCAGTCTCAGAACCAACGAGTTGTCGCTCGTACCGCGCGCAAATAACTTCAAGTTGCTGTACTCGTTGACGACCGACAGCGGCCAGTGCCTGTGTCTCCAGTGTGGAACCCGAGGCAGAAGTTGACTCTGTACCTGGTGAAGAAGCACGATGCAAGTCCAGGAGTGTCTGGTCTTCTGCGCTAATAGCGTCATGACGTCCAAGATCATCAGGTTTGTCAGCGGTGACAAGTTGGAACTCTTCTTCTCGCATGCACAGCGCTGTAAGAGCTTCGATTAGTCCTAAGAATTGATGCTGCACGTCGACGACCTGGCGACGATATCTCTCAAGTTCGGCGAATACTCGGTCCTGTACGCATTGAGCTCGTGCTTGTTCACTCTGAAGACGACGCACTTGTTGCTCACTTTGACCAACATGCGAGCTCAACTGCACTAAATGCTCAACGACTTGGGACTTTTTGAGTAGCTTGAAGTAAGTATCCGAGTTCATCGGCGATACATGGGGGCTCGGAGTTGGTTTTGTTGCACTAGACTCTGTTGCCTTCAACGATTCATCGGATGCCATTGGAGATGTACAATCTGGGTCTGAACAATATTTGTACGCACGGGATCGAGATGCTGCATTTGGTGTAGAAGTTGGAGTAAATGTCTTTTGTTTAGTGACTTGAGCTGGCACTGGAGGGGGTACACTCGATGCAGAAGCTGGAGAGTTCACGCGCGTAGACGGACAAGAGAGTGAGTGGCATTTCAGGAGCTTTTTGTCTACAGGATAAACAGCAGCATTGATGTGCATGGTCTTAGTCTGTTGCTGCGAAAGATTCGTAGCAATCGATAAAGGTGGGCGACTTGTTCGTGCTTGCACCTCCATTGCTGCTCAATTTCTACTTGCGAAGTGATCACCCTCACATTAACAATAAAAATGGCTTCATTTGGTAAAAATACATGCATATTTTTGCATCTGCGGCAAACCCTCTTATCTTCACTTATGCTGTGTCTTCATCTTCTTCGTAGTTGTTCCAGCAGCGCCACTTTCCGCTGGCCTCGTCGCCCCAATCTTACGGCCAGGTTTCGCAGATACTTCTTCCTCTTGTGGATCAGTCTCTTGGTCTCCTGAACCTTTCTTGGCCTGAGCTGCTAGTCGTCCAACCTTGAGCACATACGCGTCCATGCGGAACTTGCGCTTGAGACCAGCTTCATTCATATAGCGCACTTTGCCGAAGATTGGCCGTTCTTTCCAGCCTTGATCGTGCTTTCCGAACGTCCAGGCCACCCCTGCGTACGAGTTTGGATCAGGTGCATCCAAGGCGTACTTGTTATTTAGAACTAGCGCCGCATTGAAACCTTCCTCGGGAGTTCGTGTCCACTCCAGCAACTTCTTGCCCCAATACATGCGCATGTAGCCGTGCATCTTTCCCGTTACCACTAACTCGCGTTGTGCAGCGTTCCAAAATCTGTCTCCAGTTTGATAATTCTCGAGCTTATCCCGTGAGTACAATTGGTCTCGCTTGTCATCAGCATGTTCCTGCAGCGTGATCTGCGCGTAGCTCGGAAGACAGCGCATGGAGTCGTAGTTACCTTGGTTGTAGACTACCAGATTCACGGATAATTCACGGCGTACGATGAGTTCCTCGAGGAACGAAGCCAATCCTTCCTTTGCTCGCTGCACACCCCTCAGTTTGTTAGCAGCTAGCACTATACGGACGACGCTAATGTGTCCATAGTGCAGATAAAGACTCAAGTCGCTGCCAGCGTCCAGACTTGGCTCGTTGCGTTCAGTGGCGTAACTCGCAAGTTTATCTGCTGTGAGGAACTTCTTCGCACAAGCTGAAGCTGCAGCCTCGCCTCCTTTAAAATACCAGTTCACTCCCTTAACACTACGATTGACATCCAGCAGCTCCAGTGTGCTAGCTACAGCCTCCGAACTCGTCACATCAAGCGGCTTTAGCTGCTCGAGTTCACCGAGGACAGTCAACAGTGACTTTCCTTCTGTATGGTACGCTGGGTCCAGGATCATAACCTCTAAACGAGCGACGTACTGATCTAAGTGCTTAGTGATCTTGGGACGGATCGTACGTGCCGCGTATTCTTCCTTATCTGTAACCACAGCAGCAGGAACCACAACGTCGCCTTCAATCTGGACAATTCCAAAGCAAGAGCCTTCACCAGCGTCACCTTTATCTTCCACTGTCGAAACGAGCTTGTCCAGCGCCGAGCGCCACGGTCGCAAGTATGGACGATCCGTCACTACCAGTGCAGCTTTGCGCGCACAAAAGTCCAGTAGTTCGTTGCGTGTTGGACGCCCATTTTCCTTGTGTTGGTGGTGGAAGACGTCAAGATTCAAGCCATGGCGTGCGAGACGCTGGTACGTATCGGCCAGACCTTCCAGCGCGAAGAGCGCGTGCCTTTCAGTGGCGAATGCGTGAGCATTCGCGTCTTGAATCGCTTCAGCCTTCCACTCATCGTCCTCACTTGGCTGGAGAGCTGGAGCTACCGAGCGATCTGGGAATAGATACACCACATGCAGAGGAAGCTTCAACTCGTTGGCAGCCGCCACTGCGTATTCCAGCGCGTAGTTGTGCTTGGTACGCACTGACGTCTGCATCCAGTAGAGCAGGTACCCGCCCTCGGGCTGAGACGCGGTGCCTTCGTACAGCCATTGAACGCGTTCGCGGTGCAGACCGCCGGGTAGTTTGAGCTGCTCCAGAGCGCGACGAACGTTCACCATATCTTTGGAAGAGGTGGTCTTGAGAATGACTACGGCCGACTTCGTCTGGATGAATTGAGACTTTGATCCGACCTGTTGGCGGAACACGACCGTCGTTTTCTCTCCAACTTTTTGATATTTCTTATAAAAAAAACATAAGAAAAAATCTGTTAAAGTGGCAGAATTTTTATCAATTGAGCCTTGTTATCCACATGAGTTCCTCTCATCCTAATCTAATGTCAATACACGCAACGAGGTTCGCAGCAGGAGTTGGAGTAGAATTGCTGACCGCCTTGGTCGACAGCCAGGCACCCCTTACGTTCTGAAGATGTGAACGCAATTATACCACCGCCTGACTGGGAGCAGAGGTCAGTACTTCATCTCCTGGTGCTTCAGAAGTTCCTTCTACCGTGCCATGTCTTGTAGCTGGCGGCCGATCAAGTAACGTTCATTACGGATCGACTCGCTCAGATTCGACAGCCACCGGGTCACGTGCGAGTGCGAGCGCACTAACACAAACACTGTACCGACCCAGAACGCGCACATGGCGAAGGCAGTCTTCTCAAAGTTGGTCTTTTCGGATGAAAAGACCAGCAAGACCACAGAAGACAGCAGCCACGGCACCACTAACATCCCCAGAAGGAACGTCGCGATTGGCTGTAGTACATTCACTTGGAAAAACTCCACGTCGAAACACTTCTCGCGAATATTATCCCGACGAAGTCGAATACCCTCGTTATCGTGCACCGTCACGTTGAATTGGAGTTGACGGTACGCCTTGCGGAAAGAGGCGATGAAACCCACAGGCTCTACCACAGCAACAGCACCCTCACCATTTCGTTGTCTTTCCTCTTCTTCAAGCTCATCGTCATCCAGATCGTCCTCGAAAAGCTCGTCTTCATTGTCCACATCCAAGAATCCATCCTCGTCCGCTTCCAGCTCTTCAAGAGCTGCTTGTCGCTGGTTACGGCGTCGATTTCGCTTCGCTCGGAAGCAGCAAACCAACCACGCGAACAGATTGAACACCAAGTAGCCCATCAAGAAACTCTCCAGCGAGGTAGCGTTTGCACTGGCGACACATGAAGACATCAGCTGACCCAGTAGGGACGGACACACGAAGGCCCAGCCCACGACACAAGTAACTGCGTTAGCTGGCGTCAAGTTGCGGACAGAGTAGCCACGCTGAACCAGTGTTGGATCCACTCGGTCTTCCGGAAGCATCAGGATGTTGAGAGCATGAACACTGTTCACAAAGTACCACACAATTTGAACACCAGCTGCCATCACGAGCGGGTCGTGGTTGATTCCAGACACACGCTCGAACGGACCCATGCAGATCCGGCCGATAAACAGCGAGCCAAAGAGAAAAGTCCCGATCACCACGACACAAACAGCCCACGTGAAGATCGCTAGTCCAGCAAGTCGAAGCCAGAGATGCGACGGTCTCTCTCTGGGGAGCAACGGGTACTCCACTGGCTGCGGATCATCCAAGCCATCCTCTGGCCACGGCAAGTAACGGTGACCATCAACGCGTAGTTCTTCAGGTGGAATCTGTGCGTGAGGGTGGAAGTGGAGAGGAGGAGGAGGCAGCACCACAACCTTCGACTTGCGCTGGCCATTCACAACGACCTCCAACTCTGTCTGTGGTAACAAGTACTCTGTCAGCCCCAACCACTCGCTTGCGAACACAATTCCAACGTGTTGGAACTTCCCAATGTCGTTTTTCGCGTGCTCCAACACGCTCAATACCACGAGGTGAACAACCAGAAGTTCCAATGGGGCTTGGATCTCTGGACTAAAGTGCTGGAAGCGAAGAGTTAGCGGGAAAAATGACGGCGCCAACAAGCTCGCGATACGCACAGGAGCGTGCACGAGGACCAGCAACAGCGCTGCATAGATCACAAGAGACAGAATCATACGACGAGCGTGCTTGACACAGCTCTCGCTCAGCAGCGTACGTAGAAGATCCGGATGGTCTTCCTGTGGTCGAATCACCTTAGCCAGGATGTCCGGGTGAGCCACTTCACGCATTTGCAGTACAGAGACCGTCACGAACAGCATGAAGGTAATACCCAGTACCCAGTGCACCATCAGCGCGCATATCATGTTCTGCATGCAGAACGAAACGCGGTCTTGAGCACTCACCATGAACAAATGGAGCGTCGCAAAGTCGATACACAGTCCCAATATAATAGGCAGAATCACCATCTTGAGCAACAGCAATGTCGACACCTTTACGATAGCCGTCAAGCAGCGCAGAGCCCACAGAAGACCATCCATAAGCGGTCGATGGATATATGAAGACGCGGTCCTCACCATAAATCTCCACAAGACGATCGTCATGCAAATCGACAAGTAACCCATCGTACACGTACAAATGTCCACCAGTTGCAAGCAGTCGCCATTTTCCTTCGCTGTCTCGATAGATTGCAGCAGTGTCTTGACAAAATACGCACCTATAGACAATTCTTCATCAGCGGCAGCCTCAATTGTGACCAGCGACGTTAACGTCGACACAATTGGTAGTGAAGCAACAATCCTGGCTCCCGCAGACAACAAAGTACTTCCAAGCGTGTACGGGATAAACGCAAACAAACCGAGATACGCTCCGTTGAACGCCAGTAGCCAGGAAACGTTACGGAACAGCACCACAAAGTCTCCACGTAGTCCAAGTAGCTCATCCATCGCGATATTAATCTCCATATGCTCAAAATCGTCTTCCCACTCACGTTGGTTCATATTAGGAGGATCCACACGATTGCGTGCGCCTCTCGGCGGTACATTAGCGGCATTTCGACGCTCTTCCATCTCCGGTGCGTCACGGAGCGGTCGTCGCTGTCTTAGTTCATGCTGTGGCTGTGGGACGGGATCTGCGTCTTCAACAGGCTCTGGTAGCCCAAACTCTCGGTGCTGGATAAAGGCGTCGGCAAAAGGTTCATCTCGGTTCCGATCGACCCATTCGTCTTCATCTGACGAGTCAGAGTCGGCGTTATCGTCCAAGTTACCCAATCTTCTGGGGCCTTCAAACATGGGACGTAGTCTAAGCTCAGCATCTTGTTCGTTCTCTTCAATGTGGTTACCTTCTCCAAATTGTGCGCGTCGCATCGGCTGAGCTACATCATGGCGATGATGGTGATGGTGTGGCACTTCTTCTGCCGCCATCTCTTCTTCGATATGGTCCAAGTGGAACCTCAAGAAGTCTGCAAACGACATTAACGCTAGGAAGGAGAAGACGATGCACACGATGAGAATTACGCCAGAGAAGATGTCGGCGACAATATGTGGCGCGTCGAAGCGCTCCGAGAAGTTGACGTTCACCATGGCCGAGGCGCGTAGCAGCCACATGCGGTAGAGCCAGCTAGTGCACCACGGAGCCACGGCTAGCCACAGTACCAGCACGAGCGCGGCGCGGAGTGCGAAGGGAAGCCACTTGAGTAGTACGACGCGTAGTCCTGTGCCCAGCAGCTCCGTCCAGGGCAGAACGTCCGGCGCGTTGGCGTCGTATAGAGGCGTGAAGGTGAACTCATGACCACATAGCTCGCAGAAGCTCTTGCCCGAGTGCTCTAGCCACTGCTCTAGACAGTCCGAGTGTGTGAAGCGGATACTGCCGCTGCACTTACAGGGCGCGAAGAGGCGGCGATCCGGCTCAGCCTCACCGCGACACACGCGGCACTCAGCTTCGTCCTCGTCTTCGATGAACTCGCTAGGACGTGGAGACGGCGGCAAGACCTGCGCGTCGGGGATGGGTCGCAGATCTACCATGCGTGTGTGTGTGTGTGTGTGTAGATCGAAAGCTGGGAGCAGTGAGGCCGCCTTAGACGGAGACGAGAGCTTTGCGAGCGCAGAAGCCTGGAAGCGACTGACTGTGGAAACGACCTGTTGGCCGCTGGGGTTGGGCGACAGGGCGAAAGAGGTGTCACATACAAGAAATAAGTTTTCGGCTGATGTAGCCATTTGGATGAGCTCTTGATCGCGCGACCTTCGCGGCACATTTGCGGCAGGCAAATATTAGGATAGTATTTTCAAGTTTCACGCGTAATTCTTCACCTGATCTGAAAAGGAATTGGAGAGTCTGACAATATACAAGGTCTGTATCGACTCGTTATCAAAAAGTAGTCATTCGAAGACAATTGCACATTAAACGATGCCACCTACTGCAACAAGCGATAAACTCGCCATCCGTTTGGGCCCACACCCAACGATATGTACTCGGGCCAAGCAGAATTTAGCTATCTTCTTCAAATTCTTTATCGGGTGGTGTGTGTCGTTCGAGGTTCCAAGTAGGGACCTCCCCCCATTTGATAAGGTATAGTCGTTGCATATCTAGTATTTTATATAGCGTATGTGCTTTCAACAGGAGAACGTCCTTCATCGTCACATGAATCCGGAGAAATCGCTGTCAGTTCGACCAGAACGTGGAAACTCTAAAAACATATATCCCTGGTGTAGGACTTATACATAACTCGGGTCTGCTGCTTTCGGTATCTGGGACCTCATCTCCGTTGAATAGATAGAAAAGTGAAACAATAGGATTTGGCTCAGCAGCTTGAAAGTGACTTCCACAGCTCGATTCTGGGTTATCGGTGCTTCGTTCTTGTAGTAGTTGCCCAGTTTGGTCATGCCGGCGCTGGGTTCGCTCGACACACTAACACCGTGTTAGGTGTACTATGCTCTAGATCATAGACGAAATGCGATAAATTTTGATGCTTAGCACAAGCGCCTTCGTTTTTATGAAGTTAAATCAGTCAACGAAGCTCTTGTTGGTGTGTCAAAGTATTATAGCGGCAGAAAATGAAGGGGCTAGTAATCAAGGTGTCTGCGCTGCATTGTGTTGCTACCAATCTAAGTGGTGAAGAGTCTTTATATCTTTCAGAAGGATCTACGAAGAGTTAGCTGTCTATTCGTGTTTTTCGCGCTTCAATTGAAGCTATTTTGGTTAAGATATTGTTGTTTATCGAAGCATGATATTTTTTTGGATGAACTAGCCCCTTCATTTTTTGCCCTTATAATTGCTTCAGTCAATGCGGATAGAGGTATCGTCAGTATTTTCGTCCGCAGCTTGGTAGGGTTATTCTTCCTCGTCGTCCCCTCCGTCGAGACATGCCTTCATGTGTTCGAACTTGTCCACGGTGTCCAGAAGGTTGTGGTTGATATACATGAACGCCAACTTTTCAAGCTTGGCCATTGTCATCCTGATCCTGGGCTTAGTGTGGAGTTACGAAAAGATACCCCACGCACGTTGATCAGCCAATGAAGACGTAGGAACCGAGAACACTCGAAAAGCAATTGACGCCAGCAAAGGTAGTCTGACAACCTGTACTGAGCCCCATCCTGCAGTTACAAAAGTGTGTTGTACTCATTGAGTTTGGTGATAGATCCAGTTCAATGCCATGTCAATAATGTGTTGAGCTCTTCAATGCACATTGTGACTTCATCACGTTGGTAGAAGCTCTAGATCGTGAGCTGGTTTTCGTGTTGTTTTTTTGCCGTATGGAAGCCATGACATGGTCGCTGTCTTCGGTGGGGGGGGGGGGCATGTAAGCAGACCCCATAGACTCTGTGTGCATAAAATTCCGGATACACTCGCGTCGGCAACTGGTGCTTCTCCAGTAACGGTGATGCCAGCTACTGCTCCGGTGGCTGAGGCAACGATGAGGACGGTTAATTATTCGGCTTCCATGACAAGTCAGTGTGGGGATAGTGGAATGAGTTCAATTGAAGCTAGAGAGTGTAATCGCAATAAACAAGAAAAACGTTCTACCGATTTATCGTTGACGCAACCGTTTGACTAGCCTAACCCGCCTGCTACTCATCCCAGTTGAAACCGGTGCCACCACTATGATACTAGTACTAAATGGGATTATTCCAAGACAGTTATGATCAAGCCTCGCAGGATGCAGTGGGTGAACCACCACATCGCAATTATTTGATCGAATGGACTGGCAAGCCACTCCAGCTAAGTTGGTTCCGGGAAGAAGAGCTCGCAGGGCTCCCTATACTAACCTCACAGATGAAACCTAGAAGGAGAACTGCTATGATGAAAATGGTCGCTTTCTAATGTGGCATAAATTCTTCAAGACGCTCTATGAGTGCGTCCAATTTCGACATCGATGAGCGTACCTTCTTCGTTCTCCCCGATGAAGAACTGCCAGAGCGCCACCGCCGAAGCAAACGACTCACCCCCGAGATCATATTTCTGGCAGCAGTTGACCGCCCGAGGTAAAACCTAAGAGATTTGATAACCTGTTATTTGAATTGGTATGATATTGAATGGGATATGACTGCCATAGCAAAACCGTGTTTGATGGCAAGCTTGGAATCTGACCCCTAGTCGAGGATTACACCGCTCAACTAACTAAACAGCGCTAACCGCCCAGTAGGGACAGTACTCACGAGGAATATTACGTCTATAGACCGAGTCGTCATCAAGGAGTTTTGCTGAAGGAGGTCATACCTAAAATCAAGCGTAAGTGGCCCGCACGAGACCGAGACAAGCCCATTCTGATTCAGCACGATAACGCCAAGCCCCACGTCTCTCCGTACGACTCCGACATCGTGGCAGCTGGAACAATCGTCTGCTCTGTCAGCCACCCAATTGACCAGACTTAAATGCGCTCGATCTCGGGTTTTTCTCGTCGATCCAGACCATCCAGCTCAACACCCCTCTTTACGGTGCCGACGATTTATAAGCTGCAGTCAAGTTAGCTTTCAATGTGTTGCCGTATACTACTCTGAACGATGTATTTCTGACTCTGCAGAGTGCCATGCTGTGCATTTTACAAGCTAAAGGTGGAAACGAATACACTTTACCGCACATAGGAAAGCAGAAGTTGCGGCGTATCGGCACGCTTCCAGAAGTCCTAGCGTGTCCAAAAAGTCTTTTTGCAGCTGCTCTTGAAGCTGTAAAATCGTTTCGTCGAAATTGATACTTCCGACAAATAATATTTTGACGTGTTATTAGACCCAATCATTATCTCCACCTACAAAAGTAAATAGAATAATCATTTTTGTGAGGAAGAAGTACTAAGATAAATTTTAAAATTGGTATTTAAAATATTTCCAAATAAAGTAAAATCTAAAACGATTCTGTTTACAGGGTTGTTTTAACTTTTTAAGTAAGTGTAACATATTTGTAGCGGAAAACCCAAAGTATTCAGATGTGAAATAATTTAAACGAGAGTTGTACGATATTGCAAATGGATACTAAAATAAAGAAATCGTAACTTTTGGCAACTAGATTTGTCGTACAATTTAGTAGGTGTATGACATTTAAAATGTGCAGTCGTACGACTTAGCTTCTTTTTGTTTTGCCACGTGCCATAGCAATGCTCCGGTTTGCTAGCGATCCAGGGTTAGCTGTCTTGCGTTTGTGCTTAGATTTAGGCACCGGCTTTCTGCCTCTGTTACTCTTCTTTTCTTCGGGGAACTTCCTTTCTGGTATGCGCAATGTGCAGTCGGTTACTATTTTAGCCGTTTTCAGAACTGGAACGAACTGGTAGTTATAACGGGCTAAGAGTGTCCGTTATCTTTGCATACACGGTGGCTAGGAAGCGTCGAGGAGACTCAGTCCAACTGAGTCTAAGTCGTCGGAATAGGGGAAAATCAACTCTGCTTTATTATGGAACCAGGGCAGTAGCCCTGCTCCCTTTTATGAACCACTCAACTGAGGTCGATGTCTGATTGGCCGGTTATCTGCCAATCATGACATAACACGCAGCCCGCGCTACTCGCGTGCTGCTACTGCTACATATGTAATATCTAATAGCTGATCACCTATATATGCAATGGGGCCCATTACATCACCCCCCTCTCGAAGTAGCACTAACAGTCCCGTTAATGCAAACGCAAAATAATCTAGACAACGGCGCGAAGCACTCCGACGCGCGTGACAGGAACCAGTCGCGCGACCACAACACAAGCGACGATGCAGACCACAAGCTCCAGTGCAAGCTCGACGGACCCTCCAGCGTACTTCGTGATGGAGGAGGACCTCAAGCCTTGGGAGCTCCACAGCTTGGACGGCGCCGAAGGACCCGAGACGCTGGACACGATGAAGAGCTTCTTCGCTCGCTACCGCGCGATCTGTGGGAAGGCGACCAACGTCGCGTACACACACGATGCCCTGCAGTGCGTGGTGCTCTTTCATCCGACGCTGGTACGCCGCGCGACGAGAAGGCCTGTCCTTCACGTTCTGGCTCAAAGACCGCGAGGGCAATAGGAGCAACCACGCTATTGGCGAGTTGCAGGAGCACGTGTGTCAGCTGGTACAGCGCGAGTGGCGAATCTGCTACGTGCACCTTGTGGAAGGCTGTGCGAACTGCTCTGAGACTCGGGATCGACCAACTCCCACTGAATGGGAGCACCAACTGGAGCTCTGGCCACTGAGCGAGGTAGAGCGGCAGGCAATCGGTCGCTATGACGGCCGCTGCTTGGGCTAAGGCAGGGGCAGGTGCGTGACACACTGCTGCAAGATGACCCTGCTTTCGACATCGAAAGCATATCAGTGGGCGTTGCCCTCGACCACCGCGGTTGTTCCGGTACGGGGGGCCACCACGCGTGATGACGCCTCGATTGCTTCAATCTTCATAGGCTCGGGCACCGACACCCGATCCTCCTCCGACAGCGCCTTGCCGTACGATGACGACACCGTATAATCCTCACGCAGTGCGATGGCGAAGGCTTCCTCGAGGGTCTTCGGCTCTGCTCGCGTTGGCAGTATCTCGTCATGCCCTCGCGCATGCCGAAGATGAACACGTGAAACTGTGATGCATCATCGATCGGATTGGTGATGATGCACGACACTTGATGACGACATTTCTGGACATAGTCGCGCATCGGCATTTCCCCCTGTTTCGGGGAAAAGAACGCCGCGCGCATTCACGACTCGCCCTGAGGCGGCTCGAACGCCAGTCGAAGAGCCTTCAACGTCGGAAACGTCGCTGGGGAAATAACCAGCTTACCGAGGGCCCACTCCTTCGCCTTCCCACTCAACCGCGAGAGCTGGAAGTTCACTTTTGCGGACTCCGATTCGACTAATCTCGAGTCGATCGCGATGTCGATGTCGCGAAACCAGCGGTTTAGCGGAAGACGATCGTTCCCAACGCCTGAGTACGTGGAGGTTTCAATCTTGATCACATCATTCTTCATGAAGCGCGAGCAAGGCAATCTAAAATTTTCTTCTCTCAAAAGGCTTCGCTGTAAATTGACAGACAATTTCACAGCTCAAGCTACGCCTGATCGATGCGCACCAGGATGATATGGTGGAAATTTATCAAAAATTGGAGAGCTACGTGAGTTTAGCAGCTAGGAGTGGTTCGTATTCTCACTACTGCATCGAGAGACAGAATCTGGAGTTTTTCTGCGTGACTGCTTCTTCAAGTTTTACAAGCCTCAATTGAGTGATACTAGCCCGTTTGTTGCTCAGTGCCTAGATACGATTGAGAAAGCGCATTGGGACACCTACGCATTCAACGAGGAGTACAATCAGCCATCATATGATGAGGTAGTTTCAAACATTTCTGAAGCAGCGGACAACTGGATAAGTAATGGTTGTCGCTCAGTGTCACCCCCCCCCCCCCCTCAATGGATTTCGAATAGTTTAAGATAGAGGTGGTTAAGTTATTCGCAGAGCGTCGTCGTGACGCTTTCAGGGGGAATAAAAGCACTAAGAGGGATTCAACTAAGAGGGGTTCAGCCGCTCATGTTGAAATCAACACACACATTCCAGAGACTTTGGTCCCGGCGTATTAAGAAAATTTGGACGTTATCCTTCTGCGAATTAAGCTCTTCAGTATCACCCCGTGTCTAGATGGTACTGTACATGGTACGCTATTGTGAGTCTAGCTTACGCCCGGACCAAGTTCACGAATGGAGAAAGGGGAATTCGGTGGAGCATGACTGCTCTTACCCGTAGATGGAGAGATCAGCAATTCCCATGCACTCAAGCCTGCTATTCATCATGACATGCATATCAGTAGGCTCTTTAATTGGAGCGCTCATACGTCGAGCGAATATCAAAAAGCATACAACTACTGTAATGGGTCCCATTGCATATATAGGCGATCAGCTATTAGATATTACATATGTAGCAATAGCAGCCCGCGAGTAGCGCGGGCTGCGTGTTATGTCATGATTGGCAGATAACCGGCCAATCAGACATCGACCTCAGTTGAGTGGTTCATAAAAGGGAGCAGGGCTACTGCCCTGGTTCCATAATAAAGCAGAGTTGATTTTCCCCTATTCCGACGACTTAGACTCAGTTGGACTGAGTCTCCTCGACGCTTCCTAGCCACCGTGTATGCAAAGATAACGGACACTCTTAGCCCGTTATACCTGGTAGCACTTCATAGTCCTTCCAACGACCAAGATCAAGATGACCCCCGTTCTGTCGTCTGAAGACATGGGGGTAACACTGGAGCATGAGAGCCTCCCCCACCTCACGCGTATCGAGCGGGAAGCTCTCCATCGACTCGCCGAATCTCCAGTGAGTCCGTCGTCGTGTCGCTGCTGAGTTCAGCGACCCCGGAGCAGCAGCGTCAAGCTGCACAAGAGTTCATGGAACGCGAGCTCGCCAGCGCACAGCGGCGAGTGTCAACTCCCTGGCAGCATCGACCTATGCACCGCTGTTTACAGGCAACATTTCTCGATCTAGCACACCTTGTAAAGTCTCAAATGAAACGTTACGCTGCCGCTGCCGTATTGTATCTCCCCTTAGGTCGCTTTCCACGAACGTGCCAACAAGAAAGCCGGTATGTATATAATGATCAAGCACCAAACACATTTTCGTTATCTTCCATTCCTTTCGTAATCAATACACTGTTATGAAAAACGGGCAACGCTCCTAGCTTCCAGACACAAGCTGCTGCTGGCCCTTCAACTTCTTGCAAACATGTCTTGCATTACCTTCCTTAGCATCCTTCCTCCAACTGTTGCTTTCCATACAAAGAGAGAAGCCACAGTCGCACGCAGACACCCGGCATTGCTGTCGGAGAGCCTACTGAGACTCAAATGGCGTCGATGCTACGTTATCTCCGAGCATAGGCTTGACCAAATATTCCAGCATTTTTCCAATCTGTGAGGACATCGATGTCGCTGCGAAGAAAACCCTTTTCTCTTAAGTAGGCAATATTCCCTTAATCCACCGTGCAATTTGAGTAACGATTTTCTGGTAGAGATGCCATCTTGAGGTCTAAACAACAATAAGCGCTGATTCCGTATTGTCCGATGAGGCGGAGCTGGTAAGTCGAGAATTGAGGTGTTCTGGGAGAGTTATTGCCGCAACCTGGGCGGACAGAGCGGTAATGTTGCCTGTAGAGTCGTGTCGTTTTGCGGAAGTATAACCTACCCCGATTTAGAGTCTATATGGCTCTTTAACTGGAATTTTGGTGGTTTCACTGTGAAAGACAAAGTGAACGGCTCTCAAAAGTATAGGATTTTTCTGGAGATCAATTTAGAAGATAAAACAAACGAGTCGTAAGTTATAAAAAAGGTTTTGCTAGGAGCTGAAGTTTCATTAGTCTCATTTTAGTAGATAAAACAAACGAGACGTGAGTTTTGGCTTGCTAAAAAAGCGTATAAGTAGATGCAACCGACTACATACGTTTTGTAAAAAGTGACTTATAAGTAGAAGCAACGACCAGTTACGTTTTGCAGTAGTGACTTCAATCTACTTATATTATTTAATTCCTCTATTAATAACGGTACTTGTTCTACGGTACAGACCCTTACTACGGTACAGACCCTTATTAGCAGTAAATTGCTGCTGTAATTAAGACAGCTTTAAGCCGGCATGCGTAAACTGATGACGTAAAACGACAAGTTCAACACCGCAGAACTTGTCTTCACTAACAGCCACCTATAATTTAATACTCTGTCAAATTGAAATGCAGTTTTAATAATTTTGACCCATTGAAACTTTTAAAATTCATTATCCTACCAAAGCTACAGCCTCAAAATCGCTTCGTTTGATCAAGTCACTGTAGTTCTTACTAGCGCAAGACGTCGAAGCTTTTCACATTGCAAATTCGCTTCTAGCGCTCGCGACGCCTCCGTTTAGTTTAACATCCCGTATCATGCTTCGCTTCGACGGCCAAGTCGCTATCGTCACAGGATCCGGTTCTGGAATTGGCCGCTGCTACGCGCTGCTCTTTGCGGAGCGCGGTGCCAAAGTGTACGCTATCTGTTGTCGGAATGGCTATGTCCGTGTTGGCTCGGTATCTAAAGCGTTTTGATTTTTTTTTCGATGTATTGCAGTGTGGTAAATGATTTCAGTCGGGAGGCGGCAGACTCAGTGGTCAGCGAGATCAAGGCCAAGGGTGCGTGTTCGTGACTGGGACAAGTGTGCGGGCTGTGGATTAAAGCTAATCGACATCTTGTGTGCCAGGGGGTGTGGCTGTCGCTAACTACAACTCGGTGACGGACGGTGAGAAGGTGGTGGCCACTGCTATCGAAAACTTCGGTCGCGTGGACATCCTGGTGAACAACGCTGGCATTCTGCGTGATGTGACCTTTGCCAAGATGACCAAGTCCCAGTGGAACCAGGTGCTGGACGTGCACCTCCAAGGAAGTACGTTCTCCTCTGTCTGATTGAACTGATGCATGTTGCTCTCTCTAATCGTCTATGTTGTGTCGTGTTCGACTGTGTGCAGCGTTCGCGGTGACCCACGCGGCGTGGCCCCACATGCGCAAGCAGAAGTACGGCCGAGTGATCCTCATCACATCGGTGAACGGTCTGTACGGCCAGTTCGGCCAGACAAACTACAGCGCCGTGAAGGCTGCTATGACTGGCTTCGGCAAGTCTCTGGCCAAGGAGGGTGCTCGCACGAACATCAAGGTGAACATCGTGGCCCCTGGTGCCGGCTCCAAGATGACGGAGACCATCATGCCCGCGGACCTTGTGGCGAAGTGGAAGCCCGAGTACGTGGCGCCCACGATCGCCTTCCTATGCCACGAGTCCGTGCCATGCTCGGGCAAGATCTTCGAAAGTGGTGGCGGCTTTGTCGGACAGGTCAAGTACGTGCGCAGTGCCGGCGTGTTCCTGGACCTGGAGAAGGAGATCACGCCTGAGGCCGTGCAGGCCAAATTCTCCCAGATCACGGACTTCAGCAACGCTACGGACCCGGACGACGATGAGGTGGCGCCCCAGCTCAAGCAGATCCTGAACGCCAAGCTGTAAGTTCTGACAAGTACTTGAAGTAGTGACCATCGACTTCGGTAGTCGCCGTAATGAAATGAATGAGTCTTTCTTATGTGGCACACATTTTTAAGGTACGAGGAAGTAATATTTGTGTAACCATCCTGTAAACCTGGAGTTTTTCCAAGACGTAGCGACTCAATCGGCAAAGACAGGAGTCGAAGACAAGGAAGTGATTAGATAGGTCCAACGAGGAGGGAGCGATGATCCGCCTCAAAGCAAAGCAAGCGGAAAAGAAAGCGGAGGAGGAGAAGGAGGCGGCGGCCGCTGCCGATGCTGGTGAGGCTGCGCCGGCCCCGAAGCCCAAGACGAAAATCCTCGGTGTAGGTCGTGGCAAGCGTGCCGGTGCCAGCAAAGAGAAGAAGCGCACGCCGGGCGAGATCCGCATCCAGAAAGGTATAGAGAGAATGGGAAATTATGAGAGTGCGAGCAGATGGGACTGACTTTTTAGCGGTATTTTTTTGTGGGTTGAAGATATTGCAGAGCTGGATGGCGGCAAGGCTGCGACGGTCTCGTTCCCGGAGGTGAACGACCTCACAGTGTTCAACGTCAAGGTACGAGGGCTATAGTATGGTCTCTATTTCATCGATTTTCTTGTGGTGGAGTCTGATGGGACTGGTGCTATGAGTGCAGGTTGCGGTGGACACGGGACTGTGGAAAGGCGCGTCATACGACTTCAGTTTTAAGATCCCTCCTGTAGGTTGGCAGTGTGGAGAATAATACTGCTGGCAGGAGATTAATGAGGCTGTATGCTGTGTATTTGCAGATGTATCCGCATGACCCGCCCAAAGTTCGATGTCTGACGAAGGTAGGGACCATTTATTGGTCCTGTGCAATGACATCGAGATCACTAACATTATGGATTTCAGATTTACCACCCGAACATTGACCTTGACGGCAATGTGTGCTTAAACATCCTGCGTGAGGACTGGAAACCTGTGCTGGACATCAACTCGGTTATCTATGGCCTGATCTACCTGTTCTACGAGCCGAACCCGGATGACCCTCTGAATAAAGGTTCGACCGATTGCATTTAGTGTTGCAAGTTCCAGGATCTGACAAGTGTGTACTATTTTGTTGCGAGTGCAGAAGCTGCTGAGCTGTTCCGTAACGACCCGAAGCAGTTTGCCGCAGTCGTTCATCGATCTTTGCGTGGGTACAGTGTCCAAGGCATCGAGTTTGAGCAGCTGATCTAAACTCGCGCAGCCGGTACGACAAGTTTTTGGTTCCAAGCGGCCGAGTGATCGGTGGTTAACGCCAACTAGTTTTAAGTTTTAAGGCCTAGCGTCATAGACAGCACCGTGGTCGTGAACGGATCAGCAACTTACGTAATCGAGCTGAAGATTTTGGCTCAACTCATGCGGCTTTGTACATTCGCTTATTTTATTTGTTCGCGCAGATTGGCGCCGCCATCTATCGTCTTCAGATTCAAGAAATACAGCAAAATACTGCTACGAAATGTAAATGGCCTCGATCTCTTCGGACGTGCTGTCACGAAGGACATTTTCCTGTTTCAAATGAAAAAAAAAGAAAGTCAGACACTGTGCTCTAACTAGTTATAATGTCCACATACCCTTTCCAGCTTGCACTTGCCGCCAACAGCAAGGTTGAGAGAGTACTCGTAAAAGTAGCCGTCTGTGGTAGCAACATATAGCTGCACAATTGGATTGTTGGCATCTCGTGGGCCATGAATTGCGCACAAGTTCGGCACTCCAGTAGAGCGAAGTCGTGCCTACCAACAAAGATAAACCCGATTAGAAGACCCGTAAGAAGACACGATTCCCATGAAGCGAAACGCCTACGTAAGCAAAATCGCGAGTGCCTTCCGCGATGCCAGAAAAGGAGCTTGGTAGATACGCACTCATAACGCCAGCCACTTCGTCAAAGTTGCTGACAGTTGAGCTAGAGCTGGTACGCGTTGTTCGAGCCGTGCTAGATACGCCTGCAGGGTGCATTGCTGGTTTACCAGGCGAAGATCCTAGCGTTGTGGACGTAATCGGACTTGGTGATGCAGCAGCACTTCCAAAAACTGTGGAACCGAAGGTGCTTCCAGCAACTGCTAATGTCGACGTGATCGGCGTGAAATGGCCGAAACTCCCTGTAGCTGAGCTCTCGGCTCCAGTAAGCGAGAAGAAATGAATAGTGCCGGTGTCACTAGATGCACACAGGATAGTGGAGCTCTCGTTAAACGCCAAGCAGTAAACCTGGGCACCATAAGAACCGCGTCGGAAGGCAGCAACCTTCTTTCCGCTTGGAACAGCAAACACTCGAATCAACGTGCCCTGCCATTATTCGATCAGTGCAAAGCAAAGGATCAGCACAATTCATAACATACTGGCTTGGTTGTAAATGTCTCTCGTACCGATTCGGAAGCAGTAGCGAGCAACGTGCCTTGTGGGTTAAACGCCATAGCCACAGGTGCAGTACGGTGAGCATGAAAAGCATTCAGCACACTGAGGTTGTTGGCATCATAGAGCACAATTTCCCCAGGTGAAGCCCCAGACGGGAAGGCCAAATGCCCATTGTCGTGTGGAGAGAGGACGCACAACGCCTTCGGGTTTGGCGACGTATCCAGAGTTTCTAGGATTTTCATGGTGCTGATGTCGAAAATGTAAATTTTGCGCTCCAAAACTGCCACCAGCCTGCAAACATCACAACGTACTACACGCATTAGCCGCCTGCACTCTTTCCTTCTCAATAAAATTAGCAGTCACCGCTACCTCTGACGATTCATGCGCACAGCCAACACAGCCGTGACGAAATTCAGATCACAAATGGCTGCCCCTGTCTTGGTGTTCCACACGCGCAATCGACGCGGTGAGAACGCAGGCTAAGCGAGAATATTAGCAAGAGTCAGTAAGATAACTTAATGCAGCATTAAAAATCATCAAACAGACCTGATCCCCAGCGCCTACAAGAGCCACCAAACTGGTGCAGTACAGCATCTCAGCGATGCCGATGCCCCCAATGTCTTCCTGAAAGCATTTGCCAAAGGGTTCACAATTGTAGATGGCGAAACCTTGGCGCGTGCCCACACTGATGCATCTGGAACGATTCCAAGGCATATACGTCATCAGTACCAACGCCAAATACAGCCTCTTGCAGTGCCAAAAGTGTGCAATAAGGCCGGTAATGGAATGCAGTCGTACGAAGCCTCCTGGTTGAAATTCAGGAAGAGCAAGTCAGTGCGGCTGCTCTCGGCGCTTCTCATTCTTCTTCGTAGTGCTGATACTTGCATGATAATCTACACTTGGTTTTTGAATGCTTATATTAGCCAATGATATAATTTCGGTTTCATCGTTTTAGCCAATTGCATACTCTCAATGCAAAAAGTAGTGTGCTGAACTTGAAAAAGATTTGGATAGTAAATTGCTAGTGACTCCACACTGGGATTCGTTACCTGGCTAACCAATACCCGTAGTGCAAAACACAACAGATCACTGTAAGTCTACCGGTTACTGGTGTGGAATTACTGGCGCCCGATGTGGCTCAGCGGGTTTCCTCGCAAGTTGTTGTTGTAATCGTAACAAAATTCTTGCGTCTGGAAGGTAAGGAAGTAGTAGGTAGGGTGTCTGGAAAACTCTAATAGGATGAGTCACGGCAAGTCGTCCCGGTGGCACGAATGACCAAGATCACAGCTACGATCTGCAGTTGCGCTCGCCACACCTTTCGCTTTCCAAAGTTGAGCATCCCATCGCACACTTTTGCCTCATCTAAATCCTAACTACCGTCCGTTCCTTCATTCACTTTTATCCTGCGCTGTTCGGGTTACGATGGCACTTTGTTATCACTTCCCAACACACCTTTCAGGCGACGGACCCCACCACCAGAAACTAACTCACCCACATGAAGAGCCACGCATTGGTTGCTGCAATTGTGCTGACAGCTACCGCTACCATGGATTCGACAATGGGCATGCCCCAGTTTCTGCAGGAGCTTCCGAACGGCAGCTTATTCCAGCAGGCTCTCGGCCACCCTGGCGACGACAGCTCGCAGCAAACGGATTTTGCCCAAGCGTTCGATAACGCCGGACAGTCGTGGACAAAAAGCTTGTGTGAAGCCAAGTTTCCTGGGTCAAGCATGACCAACGGCCAGGCTTTTGGAGACCCTTGTTGCACATGGAAGAAGGGTGGCAAGCCTGACTTTACCGTCACTCCATTCACAACGACGCCAGGCAAGGCTACCACGTGTGCATCGAACGGTGTTCCCAGTCCAGCTTCTAATGCATCGAAGGGTTCTTCTGGTGGGGACTCAAATGCTACGAAGGGCTGGACGCCGATGCCTGCTTCCGACGCTGTGAAAAGCAATACTGGGGGATCAACTCCATCGCCTTCAGCTCGCTGCACCGGTAAGAAGAAACTGCGCGAGTAAACTGGGTGATATGACATTAAGCTATCTTCAAAAATTCGAGCGAAGAGCATCGCGCTAATTTTTGCTAAGCATAAGCTAGAAGTGCATGATTCACGCATTGCATGCAGCATGAATGTAACGTTAGTTTTGGCAATGCTGCGCTGTGGATTTGTCAGTGTGAAATGCTTAACAGATTATGAAAGCGATGTGCATGCGCCCGCCTCATTATTTCGCTGTTTGACACGTGAGTTTGCTGCGGTTTTGGATTATGCACGTTGCCTTGATGATGGGTCCCATCCGCAGATACGGAAAGCCCCAGAGCACACCACAAACTTGCACTAGCACAACAGGGTGTTGAACACCGTCCGATCTTCGATTCCATTCCATCCGTAAAATACGAGGCAACCACACACTTTTCTCCGATTTTCGAAACAAACCAAATTGTCACTTCTCAAGTTGCCTTGCACCACCAAAACCAACACCGTCAGACCCAGCGCAAGACCGCTAGAATGAAGACTCAAGTTATCATCGCTACCGCTGCTTTGACTATCGCTGCAACGATGGACTCGGTGTCTGGCCTCGCCAAGTATCTCAACGAAATTCCGAACGGCAGTCTCTTCCAGCAGTCTCTCGGTCACATTGGTGGCGACAGTTCCAAGACGACGCCGTTTGCCGAAGCGTTTGCTGCTGCCGATCACACGTGGTCCAGCAGTCTGTGTGAAGCTAAATTTCCTGGCTCGAGCATGACCAACGGGGCCGCTTTCGGTGACCCGTGCTGCACGTGGAAGAAGGGCGGAAAACCGGACTTCACGGTGACGGCTTTCACGACTACACCCGGCAAGGCCACGACTTGCGCATCGAAGGGTGGGTCGAGCGGAACTTCCTCGGGGGCTGGTGCATCTGGAGCCGCTGATGCTACAAAGGGGGGCAGCTCGGGTACTACCGAGAGCTCTGGCGATGGGGCTGCTAATGCCACCAAGGGTGGAACTACCGACACTACCGAGAGCTCTGGCGATGGAGCTGCCGATGCCACCAAGGGTGGAACTACCGACACTACCGAGAGCTCTGACACGGGAGCTAGCGATGCTTCAACAGGAACTACCACTGGTGGCTCGCCAAGTGGAGCTGGTGATGCCACCAAGGGTTCTCCTTGGGGCTCAAGCACCACCCCAACTTCCGGTGGTGGTTGCGCTGCCAAGAGAACTCTGCGTCGTTAGACGTACGAGTATTCGCTATGTGTCCACTGGTAGCTGTCTTAGTCGTGTTCGCATCGCCTTAAAGAAGTAGCGAGAGAAGCTGCCTATTGTTGTTTACATTTCATATTTCTCAAACGAAGCTTTTGAGAAAATACCTGTTAATTGTATTTGGTTGTCAACATCGATTCATCCTATTCTGGTATTTGTATTTTTGATATCTTTACTGGAAAATACGACACTTGAGGTAATGGGTAATGTATGCTGCGGTGGCGGAAACTCGGAGGTGTTGGCGCGACAAGAACTGCTCAAAGAGGGCAACGATTTCAAGAAAAAGAGCGCTTTTCTAGGAGTGCTCAGCAGATCTGAAAACGTCTACTTGCAGCTAAACCCGTCGGGTACCAGGTAAGATCAACACTTCTGCACCAGATTGCATGTAGAAAGCGGTATAACGTGTAAGCTCGCCATGGCAGACTGATGTGGCGACAAACACCCGGTCCAAGTAGCTCCGAAGAATTGCCGATTTATCGGGTTGGCAAAGTATGTCCGATGGGTATGTCGACGCAAACAGTAAAGTACTTTTAGGGAGCAAACTCTAACGATTTGGGTTTTGAGCAGGTCGTCTTGATCTGGTGCTTCTCGGTCAGAATGGCCAGAAATTGCTTGAATTGACAGCAGGAACGACGGATGTCCGAGACCTGTGGGTGCAGACGTTGGAAGAGCTTTGTCTTCCCGGTCAAGAAAATCAGAGTGAGGAGGACGCGAAAAGCTTAAAAGAAAAAATGGAGAAGCAGCAGGATAAGCAGAAGGAGGTACAAGTCGCTGATAACAGCCTAATGTTAAACACGTGGCTTGGCTAACACTTTTTTCTTGCAGCAATATTGGAAAGATCGAACGGAGGAATTGGAGAAACGACGACGCGATGCTGAAGAACGCAAGAAGAAGATTGGCGTTATTGGAATGAAATACACCGCCCAAGCGATGGTGAACAGATAGGCTAAGGCAGTAGAGATTAGTTCTCTCGACCATAATTATTATCGCTAGGAATGTTAGATTAATCACTTCCTTATCCAAATTTGTATTTTGTATTGCGTGGGCTCGTTTCCCTGACGCAGCAGGTTGAAAGTTTATTCTTCGTGAATGTGGAATGACGCAGCCAGTTCCAGCATACTGGTCGTGTCTAGCGTGTGTCCGTGAACGGGGCCAATCGCACTGAGTACTGCCGCTTTGGCTACTGCGCTAACAGGAATCGTAGCTCGCATTTCCTCTCCAAAAAACGGTACGTAGCTTAGAGCAGTTGAAAACGCACCAAGATCGCGCGCCAGCAGCGAAGTTGGAGCTCCGACGAGCTGCAACGGGATTCCTCGACCCTTTTTCGTGCGTCGCCAACCGTAAATGAAACCCGGACGCAGCGCCACGCCCGTGCTGGGGAATCTAAAAATTTGTAGTCAGCAACAGAAGAAAGACCGTAAATCTCTAATTTGCCTTACCTCGACTGCACTGCTTTTTCAGCTCTCTGCTTGCCGTGGTAATAGCCGTACATGGGTAGCCACGATGGGTAGTACGAGCCCACCCGCGAGTTCGAGACAAATACAAAGCGCTCGGCCCCCGCCTTCTGCGCCGCTCTTGCCGCCACGATCGTGGCGTCTCCGCACATTTTCTCCATAAACTCATTGTTGCCGAACGCTCCCACAGTCGAGACTGCCATACAAAACCTTAAAGTCAGTACATGATCAACTTCAATATGGACTGAACGTACTGACGCCCGTGACCCCCTCGACGGCCTTGGCCAGCTGCTTGTCATCAAACACGTCGCCCTTGTGCCAATCCACCTGGTCGATCCAGGGCACGTCCTGCCACTGAGGCTTACCCGACGGGTTCAGGCTGCGCACTTCGATTCCTTTCTGAACGGCGCGTTGCAAGATGTTGCTGCCCACGAAGCCGTTGCCGCCGATGACCAGCACGCGGTGCTCGCTCTTATCGTAGCTCTTGAGCGTGTGCATCGTGCTCAAGCGCATGCGCTTCGTGGTGGCAGCCAACATTGTTGCTCGTAAGGATAGTGGGAGAACTGACTTGCTAGACGTGAGCTCTTGCTGGTCAATTGAAGAGTGCCCGGATGAAGTTGGGGGATACTTACGCAAGAGTCACGGAAATAGAAGCGATTATAGGAATAGTACACGATCTTCAGAATTTAGAAATGAAAATAGAAATCGAGTGGAATTTTGTGTTTTAAAACTGGATTTGATTTTCTAAATCTACGTCATATTGAAGTGGTGATCTTGAAAGGTCGTAGCCAAACGGAAGGGACTTTGCTTTGCTGCATCAAGGAGTTATGGTATGTATAAGCTGCTCATCCCTCGCTATGTGGACGACTTGGTCATGCTAATTGCTGTGTTTGTTGCAGTCGAGTGCCATGTCTGCTTCGGCTTTCGCGCGGTCCCGCGCGGCGTTGCGACGCAAGCCCAAACCGGTGAAGAAGGCGCTCGATGAAGAGGATTTAGAGGAGATCAAGGAGGCTTTCCACCTCTTCGACACGGATGGCAGTGGCAGCATTGATGTGCGTGAGTTGAAGGCTGCGATGCGTGCACTCGGGTTCCAGGTGAAGAAGGCGGAGATCCGCCAAATGATCGCAGACATCGACAAGGACGAGTCGGGGACTATCAACTTGGACGAGTTCATCGAGATGATGACTGGGAAGATGGTGCGTTGCAATAGAAAATCAGTGCGAGTATGGAGTATAAGTGGCTCATTGTATTATGTTGATAACTATTCAGAACTCACGAGACTCGCGCGAAGAAATCATGAAGATTTTTCAGCTATTTGACGACGACAACACGGGCAAGATCTCGTTCCGAAACTTGAAGCGTGTGTGCACTGAGCTTGGAGAAACGCTTACGGACGAAGAGATGCAGGAGATGATCGATGAGGCTGATCGCGATGGAGACGGGCTTATCAACGAGGAAGAATTTTTTCGCGTGATGAAGAAGCGTAGCGGTAACCCTCTCGACGACCTTGACAGCGACGACGACTAACAACTTCACAATACACTATCAGAGCTGAGGTCTCTAAACTAGATCACTTTTGTCTATTAGTGTTTCCGCGGTTGCTTCTTCGTCAGTGGGAGGCGATGAGCGTAGTGCCGCTTGAATACGGGGGTCTGTTATGCTAGCCAATCGCTTCTCTAACTTAACAGATTGCAGGATTTCTTGAACGCTTCGCTTTACAATGCGAGTATTTGTTAAGGATGGTGCAATAGATGGAGATGATAGCCGTGCGTTGTTGGCCCCGCCAGGATGTTTCGATGGCGGTAGATCGACGATGTTACAGCGAATTCGAACCGTTGTGCCTGTCGACTCCGTTTTTTGTCCTAACCGACTGGTGATCGTAGTGGAGATAGGTGATTCATCAGCATTGACTTCCCGTAATCGACCGGCAATGAAATCGTCATCTTCAGTGCTTTCGTCAATACCCAGAAAGAGCTCTTCCATTTGATCACGGATCGAGAAAATCGGTTTGTGAATAGGCACATCTAAATCGTAAAACCCAGAAGAATTTCTCAGTTTTATCTCTCCGTTGCCTTGGGTTCTCTTCCGTCGCCATGAATCTCGAGAATATACCCTTAAGTGGAGAATTGGGCAAGCAACAATGTTCCCAAAATTATCCTCCCCCTTTGTATGTGACGAAATCTCCGATAGTTCAGATTTGACGAGTTTCAGATTAAAATGCTGATGACAACCAAATGCTGCGGAAGTAAAACAACCTGGATACGCAGGTCGCTGAGGTAGCGATAACGACGTTTTACCTCGCTTCCGAGTATTATTCCCAGCTTGAAATTTCCATTGAGGGTATCCAGCACGACCGGGCAGCTCAAGTTCATACTCCACGAAGATCGGATCCGTTGTTTGCGGGTTATCTACCGCAACCACTTCAAGCGATATCATCATCTTGTGCTGCATATTATTGCCACTGATCCGTTGTTCAAATAATTTGGGATTCTTGTTCAGCTGCTGCCATCGAGTCACCTCAGCCCTATCGCGCTTTTCCTCCTGCAATCGGATGTCTCGGGAGAGTCTTTGATCCTCAGCAGAAGCAAACGGAAGTAGATCGTGAATGTTGTCTAGCACATACTCGTATAATGAACCTGAAGGAGTAGGTATATGGTACGTTGAAAGCTTGGGGCCCTTGATAAGCAGGTCTGGATCATTTTCAGGCTCCACAATTGAAGCAGAAAAGCCCGGTGTAGCACAGAATAATCCAGTCTCTTTGTAAAACCGAAGGGAGCAAAGAACACGTTCCACACCTTCGATAAGTGCAATAATGTGCATAGCACGAAATTTATCTTCGCGGTTGGCTCGAAGCCAAGCACGGTGTTGATTGGATGTCCACGAAGCTTCATTTCGCTTGTCACGTGGTCGTCGAGTAAGATCTGGCGGAGTAAGATGCGTTATGCTGTTCTTCGAAGTAGTTGGCGGATCTCTCGCATACTACATGGTTTGTCATCAATAATGTGTCAATACAAATATCACTGATATAACGTTGCCGAAGCGTATATATACCTCGTTTGGAATGAAATCGTCAACATCGACGTATGAAGACAAGATATCGGCGTTGTCACTCTCAGGCGAGCTCCGATCTCCACGCTAAAATCGATAAAGAATTGTTAGGAACACGTATATTACATGTGGGTGTTGGATGTTTTGCGATTGCACGTACCTTTCGCTTGGATAGTTGAATTCCTCTTGCTTCGAGATGCTCCAACTCTCGCTTCTTTTCGCTTGAACAATATTCAGAGAGTTAATGCTGCCATTTAACTATCTTTCGCAGAATTGAACAGTTCACAATTGATACCTCAAGCTGAGCTTCTTTTCTTGCCACTGAAAGCAGTACGTCCACGTTCTTCCTAGTGGCACCGAGTTATCGCTTCCAAATCCAGAGATCTGCAACAAGTGATGATTTAGTAAACTCTACTTACTTAGAAAAACAAATCATTACACTATACCTTGCGCAAGGTCACGCTAATGAGCAAGTTTTCCATCGGATCGCGCACATGATAGTATTGAGTCAAAGGCATATCCTCGCCCTTGTCGATCACCGCACGTGTCCTTTCACGAATGTAGCCATGTAGGGGTTGCGTCGGTTCATACAGAAGAATACCACAACAGCATCACCTGTTCGAGGTATGATAAATGAATTTGCTGGCGACGAGCGAGTTACGAGGCCGTTGAATGGTACGCTTGCATGCAGCTATCGTTTCGTTTGCGTCAGGGAAAAAGAACTTACAGATCAATCTGTCAAATGGATTAGCGTACATTATAACTGGAGAAGTAGAGAATTCGCTCTCCCCAAATGACGAGTAAGTCACAACGTAATCAACTGTCAAATTTGTCGGAGCATTATGTTTGTGAAATTTACAGGGATATTATTGATGACGAGAACTACTGGCTTGGTCTCGGTATGGTGGATGTCGAGGTAAGTGTAAATTGAGTTTGTCGAGATTTATTATAAAAAAGGGGGGAAGAAAGTAACAGGGCAAATGGGCAGGCTGAAACGGAGTCAATGCGTCACGAAGCCGAAGTTCGACTGCGAGCCCAGTCGAACGAGCTAAAACGATTCCACGACAAAGTTTGTTTACGCGTGACGGAACGAGAACGACAGAATCGTCTTAATGCCCAGCGTGCACAGAAGTGCTTGGTGCGTGAGTTATCAGCAATTTTTTTTTTTTACTTGCGTGGTGAGATTTACTTATCGTGATTAAGTAGGATGCAAAATGTGCAAAAGTGTTTTCAACCACGGAATTGGTACAGCATACAGGAAACTCTGGGACTGCACGAATCTCGTCCCGCCCCTACTTTCAGAAAATGAAAGAGGACAAGAAAGCCATTCTAAAGGTTTGTAGCAAAACTTCCGTTTGTGACGCCACACAGTTTTCCAAGTTATGGCAAATGACACATTTCTTTCTGCTCATTGGTTCCAGGATTGCCCATTAGGAAAACACATTGAAAAGGTATATTCATGGATAATCATTTGTTTACTTGTAAGGCTTTTGTTTCCATTCCTCAGAGCAGTGAACGTGTGTGTTCATGTGGTAGATGCTGCGTTTAGATTCCCAGATTCGGGATGATTTACTACAATCAACTGAAACTTCAAGCTCACAAGAGTTATCCAACAGCAGAAACGAAAACGGTGATAACGAAGATGTAAGCGAGACGACTGCGTCATCAGCTTTGCTTCCAGAGCAGGTGTGTAACTTTTTTCGTTATGCTTTTAATGTCATCTTGAGTACGCTAATCACTTTTACTATACTCCAGCGTGTTGCTCTGTACGCAACAGTTCGACGGCAATACATGGAAATGAATCGCGCCAAAGTGAAAAACAACGTTTGGCGAGACAATTCTCATTCTCCCTCCCCAAGCACGAAATCTCCAGTGTCAAAAACCTCGACAGTAGGTCGAGTCAGCAGAGATCATCGCGATAGTACAGACCACAATGAGCATACTGAACGTTGGGCTACGACTTTAACTGGTGTTAAAGTGTACGTGAAATAATAGGTCTGCTTGTCGAAATTTATCTAACGTAGCCAGTTTTAACCAGCATCGATATGACTTCGGGGTGTGACGCTCGTGTGCATCGTCAAACCACCACATCGTCGACGCCATGGAGGAAAAAGTCTGCAAAAGGCTCCAAAACTCAAGCAGCAACGAAAGAACATGAGCGATTTCTACGAGCTCTCCAAGCACAACTAGGAACTCCCGCTCTCTGCTCATGTGCTAAGGCTGGGTCGTCGACGCAGCCATGTGCTAACAACTGCGCGCTGTACAAGCAGCCCAAGAAGCGTGAGAAACTCCTCACTAGTGTGTACAAACAGCAACAGCTAGACGTTACCACAGCTGCCTCTCCGACCCGCTAGATCTGTGTGTTAAAACAATCAATTCATTCCTCCATTGATCTTTAATTCTACACTGTCATGATGACTTCGCCGTCTTCATCCTGCGCTTCGTTTTCTTCACTGCCTGTCCAGATACCGTTCCACACAGTACTCCAAATATCAGGACCATGTTTTTCAACGTATCGATTGAAGGTTTCTTGCTCACGTTGTGCCTTGGACGTCCATGCGTCGAGCTTTAGCGGTTGCGCTTGAGGCTTCTGAAGCTCGTCATCGTCTTCATCAATCTGTTTCTCAAGCTGGTGCAAATCCAGTACACTCATGTTGCTGCTTGTGCTGTCCGGAGGGTCCCCGCTAGTCGTGCCGTCACTGGTATGAGAGAGAATGTCGTGGTCAGTCTCAATCTGCTATACAAAGGGAAGTAGTCGTAAGAAATACACCCACATGTTGACCACGCGTAATATTAGCGTTCGTGTACCTGTTTGCTCATAGACATCTGCCGGATCTGCTCTTTCAAGCTCTCCAATTGTTGCTGTTGGCTTTTAATGTAGTCGTTGGCGTCTTCCAATTGTCTCTGGACGATCGCCTTCTCGTCACGCAGCTTACGGACATAGTCTAACATCACGCGCTCTTCTCCGAGCATCTGAATTTCCTGCGATTCCTGCACGAGCGCTTCGATGGTTTTCTTCAATTGGTTCACAAGCAGATCCTTCTCTTCCAGCTGCAATAATAATTTTTCATCGTGGACTCCATGGGGACGCGCCGAATTAGCAGCACATGACGGCTCGCCATTCTCTCCAGCATTCTCTTCTGCTTTAGCTCCATTCTCTGCCTGAGTTTCCGTGATTTTATCACCCTCGTTGCTCTCTTTTAAGCCTTGCGAGAACAGTTCCTTTACCTCCTGCTGGGCCGCATTTTCCAGTGCTGTCTTGTCCTTACTGAACCCCTTCTCGCCTTTCAAACTCACGTCTGCATGATGCAATAGTAGCAACTTTGTGCACTCCATATTGTTAGCATGACACGCCAAGTGCAGAGGGGTAGCACCTTCTCCATTGCGTGCATCGATCAGCTTCTGCTTCTGTACATCTTCTCTCTCCAACAGGGTTTTCAGCACATCTACCGCTTGACAAGACGCCGCCCAATGCAGCAATGTTCCTCCCGTAGCTGCGTCTGTAATACCCACGTCCACGCCAGCTTCGAGCAACTGGTTCACGCTCTCGACGTCGTTTGCTGCGACCTGTTGGATCAAAAACTGGTGGAACACCACCACCAGGTCCTGCGCCTTCAGCTCTTGAGCCAGAGCATACGCGGATCGATTCTTAACGTCTTTTCCTTCCTGTGCCTTGCTCTGATGCTCTGGGGGGAAGCCAGCGGCCAGAAGAACTCGCAGTGCGTCCTTCTTGCCACTCGCCACGGCCACGTGCAGCGGCGAGCGACCGGTCACAGGGTCCACCACGTCGGCTAGCGACAGATGCCCACGTCCATGGTCTGCCAGCGCCTTGATGACGTCGGAGCGGCCATATTCGGCCGCCAGGAAGAAGCCATCCACCGCCTCCTGCAGCTCTTCAGTCATGGTTCAGCTCCGTTAGATAAAGTGTCGTTGTGGCCACGTCGTCTGCCACTCTAAGCGATTTGATTCGCCAAAAAAAAGAGTGAAATCATTTTTGAGCACTTTACCCATTTTTGCGTACGTCAGCAGGGAAATGAAGAATAAATATGTTGATTGTATTGCATGTGGTGTCTAGTTCTACTGCAGCGATGCTGCTGGAACCCCACCGCGAGAGCTTCGCCCTGTTTTCCTTCGACGGAAGAAAAACAAAGGCAAAAGCAGCGGAAGGAGGGGGTTCCAAATCAATATTTTAGCCTATTCACACGCAATCCTGCTGCAGTAATTCCCGTCGCTTACAGCTCCTTCTCCTTGGTCTCCACATCCTTCATGAACTGCTCGAGCTTGCCGGTAGCAGCCAGGATCAGACCATGGAAGGGCGGGGACGGGTCGTTCGGGTGCGACTTGAACTCCGGGTGGTACTGCGTGGCGAAGTAAAACGGGTGGACGTCGCGGTCGAGCTCAATCACCTGCATACGCTCGCCCTTGGTGTCCGTACCAACGAAGTTGAGTCCTCCCTCACGGATAGCAGGCACAAGCTCCGGGTTCACCTCGTAGCGGTGACGGTGACGCTCCATGATCGGTGTGTCCTTGCCGTACAGATAAGACACCAGCGAGCGCTTCGCCGGGTCCTCCTTCTCGTGCACAATAGTGCGGCGTGCACCGCAGCGCATGGTGCCGCCCATAACCTCGGGGTTAATCTCCGGCATGAAGACAACCGCCTTGTGGCCAGCATTAGCGTCAAACTCCTCACTGTTGGCATCAGTCCAGCCAATAACGTTGCGCGCGTACTCAATCACAGCAACCTGCATACCCAGACAGATACCCAGGTACGGCACACGGTTCTCACGAGCGTACTTAGCAGTCAGGACCTTGCCGTCCACTCCACGGTCACCAAAACCACCGGGCACTACGATACCGTCCACACTGCGTAGCTTGGTCCAGGCCTCGTCGTAAGCCTTGGGGTTCTTCTCACGCATTTCCACCTCCAGGTCGCTGGCTTCGATCCACTCGATCTCCAGGTCACGGTCGCACTTCATAGTGGCGTGCTTGAGCGCCTTGATGACACTCAGGTACGAGTCCTGCAGACCCGTGTACTTGCCCACGAGCGCAATCTTGCACACCTGCTCGAACGAGTCCACGCGGTGAGCCATAGCAGACCAGGCCTCAAGGTCCGGCTCGCTGAAGCGATCCATCAGCTGCAACTTGGACATGAGGATGCTGGCGGCTCCCTGCTTGGACAGCAGCAGCGGGACGTGGTAGATGTTGCTCACGTCGTGCACCGAGAGCACGTGGTTGGCCGGAACTTGGCAGAACATGCCGATCTTGGCCTTAGTGGCAGGCTCCAGCTCGGTGCTGCTACGGCAGATAATGACGTCGGGAGAGAGACCGGCACTGCGCAGCTCCTTGATGGCGTGCTGCGTCGGCTTGGTCTTCTGCTCGCCCACCGAGCCTAGCACAGGCACCAGTGAGACGTGCACAAGACAGAAGTTCTCCGGACCCACACGGAACTGGAACTGACGCAGAGCCTCGAGGAAGACCATGCTCTCGATGTCGCCAACGGTTCCTCCGACCTCAATCAGGCAGACGTCAGCCTCTTCGTCGTCCACAGCGCCGGCCTCGCCAGCGTGCTTGCCGTCCACACCGATCTGGGCTACACGCTCGATCCAGTCCTGGATAGCGTCGGTCACGTGGGGCACTACCTGCACTGTCTTGCCCAGGTAGTCACCGCGACGCTCCTTCTCGAGCACATGCGTGTACACCTTGCCCGTAGTGATGTTGTGGTCGCGCGTGAGCGTGATGCCAAGGAAACGCTCGTAGTTTCCCAGATCCAGATCGCCCTCGCCGCCGTCGTTGAGCACGAACACCTCACCGTGCTCGAACGGGGACATGGTGCCGGCATCGCAGTTGAGGTACGGGTCAATCTTGATGGACGTGACGCGCAGACCCAGCGATTTAAGCACGACGCCGATGCTGCTGATGGTGATGCCCTTGCCCAGGCCACTCACGGTGCCGCCGGTCACTGCCAGGTACTTCATGGTGAGAGAGTGGGAGTGATACTACGAGTCACGCACTGCTGGCAACGAATGGCCGAATGGCAGAGCGCTTTTGGTGCCTTTTTGACTCGCGAAGAGCTACGGGTTGAGTAACAGCCAAACCCGTTACTTAAGCGACTGCAGTTTGTATTAGAAATGGGCTTGATTCAAACCCGTTTTAGGGTGCTAGAAAACGGTCAGTCAAATTGGTTGGACGTCTGGAGATGGCGGGAATGCGATTCAGAGAATCATTTGGCGCGCTAAAAGATTTGAATACGTAGTGATCGGTACGACGTTTACAAGTTGGTCACTAACTTACATGCATGTAGCGCGCCGGTGCTGTGCAGTAAGTGCGAGGAAGCAACGGGAAAAGATTAAACCTATCCTATGCTTCATCAGCATGCAGCTTGGTTGTGACTTCGATTCGGTGTCATTTCCAATTCTACTTGCCACATTGTAGACTGGATTATCAGTAGTACTGATTCAGTACTCTGATCGAATGCAGGTAGTGCCACTACCACCACCACCAGTGCCGAAGCTGTAACGTTGTTGGACTAGCTCAGTCGCTCGAGACGTAGTGTTCGCGCTCCCGATTAAAAAGTGGACAGAATCCTCTCCAAGTTGAAGTTTCATGTTGAAGCAAAGTTGCCTTTTTCGTTGCAGCATTGCCCACGCACCCGCATTTCACTCTAGCGTTGCATATTTTCTTGTCTCCTAAGAACTCTTAGCAAAAGCGTTTACATCGACGAATATATCCAAAAGTCGCCACTCGAAACGACTGAGAACCGCAGGAATAAGCAAGCAGCACTGAACGCAATGGTGGTGAATGAAGCTGACGAGGCAAAGGCAAGTGCGTCACTGGCCCGACTGCGGTTGTTCCTGTCGTCGCACACTCCAAATGGTCCAGGAGAGGCTCACGCAGCATCTCCTGAACGTCCTGCTACAGAAACCCCGAAAGATGAAGATCATGATGAAAGTAGCTCACAAGCCCCAGATCCACCTCCCACATCCTCTGAATGTGGAGTTGACGTTGATTCTACCCCCGAGGTTCTACTGGACGACGACGAGGAGGATGATGCTGTGCAGACCACCATCCCTGCTGCAGGAGCGGTGGCAAGTGTTACCCCCATGAGTCAATCGTCGAAGGAGTTCGCGCGAGTTAAGTACCTACTGCAGTGCTCATTGCCAGGATATCGTGTGCATGAAGGTGTTGTGATTTGGGACATGCGGAACCCGTCGCTAGTAGCTCAGTATGAACAGCACACTGCGGGGTTGCTGGAGCTTGAATCCTGGGTATCCGTGAACGATCTTGGAGCCGACATGGGCGACGTACATAGCTACGGCTTTACGTCACTCGATGCCAACCAAACAGGCATGAAGTTTACGACTGGTAACCTCCAACTTAGTGCTCCTCTTGATCAACCAGCATCGACCAAGAAGCCATCCAGCACTCGACAACTCGTACTCTGCAAGATTGCAGTCGGTCGATCACTAGTCATTCACGACGAGGAAGAAGCCAAAGCTCGGCTCCCAGCTGGATACCACAGTTACTATTTGCATCACGAAGAAGAAGCTGGTGAACAGGATCACAACCTTCAAGCTGCATTTTTAGATCGTGGTTACTATCACGAGTATATCCTGACCAACACTCTCCAGGTCTTGCCACAGTATCTCGTGCGCTTCACCTTTTCGGCTGCCGATGCACACGGACCGGCAGTTGGTTCATGTGCACTTTGCGAACAACACCCCGCGGTTGTAATCTGCCGGAACTGTGAAGCACAGATCTGTGCTCAATGTGACCAAGAGGTTCACTCAGCTAACAAGTTGGTGCGTCGACACAAGCGCACACCATTGCGCAGCAAGTCCAAGGCCTTAGCCATTGAAGGCGCTAGACGTGGCCGGCGTCGTAGTTCGACCCCATCGCTAGCTGCTGCAATTGCGGAGATAGGCATGGAGAACCTTATGAACCCGTCCCAGGAGCCAACGGAAGCGCAGATCAATGCGATTATTGCTAAGCAAATGGAAGAAGGTTTGCTCACGGATGATGCACAGATGCCTATGTGTCGAACGCACAGTGATAAGAAGGTGGAATTCTACTGTCCTGTGTGCCAGGTTCCTGTGTGCGTGACCTGCAAAATGGTGGGAGATCATTCGATCGGAGAGAAAGGCTCGCACAGACTGCTCGCCGTTGCGGATGCCTATGAAACGTGTCTACGTGAGTCACTGCGTCCTGATCCACTGATCACGTCTCGCAAGACTGTGATTGAAAACAAACTTCAGCTTTTAAATCGAGTTCAATGCAGTGTGCAAGACAACAAGGCACAGGTTGCTGCTGCTATCAAGGAGCAATGTGCGCGAGCTCTGCGTAGTTTGGACGACGCAGTCGCGTTAAAGATGCGAGTGTTGTCCGGTGAAGTACTCGAGTTTGAGCGACAATTGCAGCAGATCGATTGGGTGGATGAAAGTCTGGAAGACCACCGGACGCTACTACCAGCGGTGGAGTTTCTAGCAGCCTGGAACCAGCACAAACTGCTTCGAGCCGAGCAACGCGACTTCCCGCCTTTTGCACACGGTTCCAATAACAGTGCGGAGCAGGTGAAAGCCGATCTGCAACTTGCAGGTGAGCTTCGCGTCATGTCGGCAGATCAAATGGCAACTCCGCAACAACGTCCTTCGTTCACGTCAAATGACGATGATCCTGCAGTCGGTGATGGCAACAACGCAAGCGGTGGCAACCAGGGCGATGGTTCCCATACAGAGCTAAAGGCTGCCGCGCTACTTACACAACACCGACGTGCATGTGACAACGATCTTCGTAAACGGTTAATCAACATGAGAGCCTCACTTCCTATAGAACCCAACGGAGCCTTCATGGTTTCGCGGCGTGTGGTGTCTCCCAAGTGCCAGGAGCTACTGGACGAGATCCGCCACGATATTCTAACCCAGAACAGCGCTAAGAAGAGCCCTGCAGCTGTCTCGCCTCGCGCCGCTGGATCTCCTCGCTCTCGCTTCGGCATTTCTCTCGTTGGAGTTGCGGGTAGAATGGCAGATTCCACAGCCTCATTGCGAGCGTTTTCAGTGCAGCCAAACACTAGGAACGAGGAACTGCGCTCACCCCGCCGCACCAGCGCGTGGTCAACTCTCCTGCGCCACGAAATGGGGCTCACCGACAATTGATCCATACAGCTTGTGTGTAAAAGCAGGGATAAAGATACTTTTTTTTTCGTGGTGCCATTTGACCCAATTTTCTGATTTTGGTCATTTTTTGTCATTTTTTGGGGTTCGAGGACGTCGTTTCATTCCTAAACCTGGGATAACCTGCCACGTGCCGAACACTCTCCCATCCGATCGGCAGTTCTCTTCCTCAGACCCTGCATTCCTCGTCGGCCAGCTCAATAGGGTACTTGTCAGTGTCCTCCACCCTCCATAGTGCAGTATTCACGTCAGCGAGAGACTCGGTACTTAATTCAGAATGGTGCGCGTAATTGCGGGCTTCTCGGCGCTTTTGGCCGCCGTCTCGATGCTGGCAGAGGCCGAGCAAGTGGCTGGCATGACTATGGAGCTGCACCGCCTACCCAAGCATGACATCCACCCGGAGAGATACATGAGACGCCTGAACAGCGAGGAAGATGCGCCGGAACTCGTGCCACTGCACCTGGGACTCGGGTATGTCAATGATATATCGCTATAAACCTGCTTACGGTGTTCTAACGACGTTGTAATTGATACAGCACACACTACACGTGGGTGTATGCAGGCACGCCGCCTCAGCGGGCGTCAGTGATCGCAGATACTGGCAGTGCATTGATGGCCTTCCCGTGCTCGGGCTGTGACGGATGTGGCCACCACACGGACCAGCCTTTCATGGCCGCTAACTCGTCCACGTTGGTTCATGTAACTTGTGCGCAAAAGTCATTCTTCCAGTGCAAGGAGTGCAAGGTACAGTCGGACACATGCGGCATTTCCCAGTCCTACATGGAAGGAAGCAGCTGGAAGGCATCAGTAGTCGAAGACATCGTGTACTTGGGAGGAGAATCGAGCTTCAACGACGAGGAAATGCGCAACCAATATGGAACACACTTCCAGTTCGGCTGCCAGAATTCTGAGACGGGATTATTCGTCACGCAAGTGGCCGATGGCATCATGGGGTTGTCCAACACGGAGAACCACATCATTGCCAAGTTACACCGTGAGAACAAAATCTCGAGCAATCTGTTCTCGCTCTGCTTTACAGAGAATGGTGGCACCATGTCAGTTGGGCAGCCGCACAAAGCTGCTCATCGGAGCGAAATCTCGTACGTGAAAGTGATCGCAGACCGCTCTGCTGGGTAAGTGAAGCTTGGCGTGATACTAGAGTTTTTACTTGTACTAATGACTCGTTTTTTGTGTCCGGTGTAGCCATTTCTACAATGTGCACATGAAAGACATTCGCATTGGTGGCAAATCCATTAACGCCAAGGAGGAAGCATACACACGTGGCCACTACATTGTGGACAGTGGAACAACCGACTCATATCTCCCACGAGCTCTGAAGACGGAGTTTTTGAACATGTTTAAGGAAGTTGCGGGTCGTGATTACCAAGTGGGCAATTCGTGTAAGGGTTTTACGAACAAGGACTTGGCGTCGCTGCCCACGATCCAGCTGGTAATGGAAGCTTATGGAGACGAAAATGCCGAAGTGATTCTGGACGTGCCACCGGAGCAGTACTTGCTTGAGTCTAATGGCGCTTACTGTGGTGGCATTTATCTGTCGGAGAACTCTGGTGGTGTCATCGGAGCCAACCTAATGATGAACCGTGACGTGATCTTTGATCTTGGCAACCAGCGCGTAGGCTTCGTGGATGCTGATTGTGCCTACCAGGGAGCCGCAAACGCGACTGCGCCTCCGTCGATCCACAAGGGTGGCACAACTACAACGACGTCTACTACGAATGCTACAGTGCCAAATGTTACACCGGGAGTTGCGAGCACTGCGGCACCAACTGCTGCTCCTACATCAGCGGCCACAGCAGCCACTGTAGTGTCGACTCCCAAGCCTACTTTTGCTGCAGTTACCCCCCAGCCGCCTGCGTCAACACTGGAGTCGACAACGAAGCCTGAATCCGCTACTGCGACGCCTGTACCTGTTGCTACGGCGCCTTCGGTGCCTGCAGTGACAGCTGTAAGAGCAATTAACTCCTCAACGTTGGACACGGCTTCAAGTGCTGCTGACCAGAACATCCAGCCATTATCAGAGGAAATCACACCAACGACTCAGCCTTCGTCTTCTGCTGCTACGGGAGATGATAAGCCGAAGGAGAAGTCGTCAGGCACTCACCCGATGGTGCTCACGATCGTGGGTGCTGTACTGGTGGTAGGCTTCCTGTTGATGATGTTGATTTCAGTAAGTCGACGGAGACAAAAGGACGGCAAGGAGCAGCTCTGGAGTCGTGTGAAGGGCGACGAGGAGGATGACGACGATGACGACGAGGAAGAGTTCGGTCTTGTGCGTAAGGACAAGAAGAAGGCAGTCACAACGAAGCACCAGAGGCTTAGTCAGGAAGAAGACGACGACGATGATCACCATGATCAGAGCAGCAGCGACGAGGAAGACGAGGTCTTCGATAGGAAATCTGTGCAGGAAGAGTCGAAGGTGGACAACCGAACGCTGGATCGGCTCTAAATACTGAATGGAACTTGTATTTCCCCACTGCCTGGTAAATAAAGATACACCAAACCGTCAATGCTTCAGTTTTTATTTTGACCCACTGATTAAAAATGTAGCCATTTCTGAAGTCAGTATCTTTATCCGGATTGCCGGATATTAGTCCGATCTTATCGGTCTGATTGGCTATAAATAAACGCTATCTGCTGCAATGCATTCTCACTCGGAGATTGAACATGACAGTGATGAGGCCTCGTTGCGCGGCGCGTGGTGCTCGATACCGAGCATTTCTCGCTGTTCTTGCTCCTGTAATATATTTCCAAGCGTCTGACGCAGTGGGCAGCGAGAAGAGCTTTCTGAAAATCCAGCTTCACAAGCAGCGGCAGCCGAGTTCCGAGTTGTCCCACAGATTGGCACACCAGCAAGCTCGAGCTCACAGACGAGCGCAGGAGGAGGTTACCAGTGGCGAAGGGAACTCTACACAGGGGACGCTGGCATTGAGTGAAGCCCCGTTGGGTGTGGGCTACGGGTACGTGTATTATGCAATGATGTAATGTTTTTATTTGGAAGTTGATGGTTATGGTGCTTATGCTTTGCAGCACACACTACGCTGAGATCCACTTGGGGATCCCTGCGCAACGTGCGTCGGTGATCGTAGACACTGGCAGCCACTTGACGGCTTTACCGTGTAGCACGTGTAATGGCTGTGGAACACATACCGACCCCCTCTTTGACGTGTCCAAGTCCACAACAGCAAAATATTTAGGTTGCCATGATTTCGACTCATGCCGTTCGTGTGAAAACGATCGCTGCATGATCTCTCAGGTATCGATACTGTGTACTTGCAGTTTTGGCATTGTTTTTGATATGTATCCAATGTTCCATTGTTCAGAGCTACATGGAAGGCAGCATGTGGCAAGCTGTAATGATAGACGAGCTGGTGTGGGTGGGAGGCTTCTCCACTCCAAGTGACGAGATGGAGGGGATTCTGAAGACGTTTGGCTTTCGCTTTCCGGTGGGCTGTCAGACTAAGGAGACTGGTCTCTTCATTACGCAGAAGGAGAATGGCATCATGGGTCTTGGCCGCCATCGCTCCACTGTCATGTCTTATATGCTGAATGCAGGACGTGTGACGCAGAATCTCTTCACCTTATGCTTTGCGGGGGATGGGGGCGAACTTGTGTTTGGAGGAGTCGACTACAGTCACCACACGAGTGATGTAGGCTACACACCGCTGATCAACGACAATTCCGCCTATTATCCAGTCCACGTAAAGGACATTCGGATGAATGGTGTGTCGCTGGGTATTGATGCTGGTACGATCAATTCAGGCAGAGGCGTGATTGTCGATAGCGGAACAACGGATACATTCTTTGACTCCAAAGGAAGCCGCACTTTTATGAAAGCGTTCCGGAATGCAGCAGGACGGGAGTACAGTGAAAAGCGCATGGATCTTACTGCCGATGAGCTAGCAGCTCTCCCGACAATTTCTATTATCCTGTCTGGAATGAAAGGAGACGGCACTGACGACGTTCAGCTGGATATTCCTGCATCGAGTTACCTTACCCCGTCCGATAACGCTGAATCATACTACGGCAACTTTCACTTCTCGGAGCGTAGCGGTGGAGGTAAGCTTCGTCAACATTTATTTGTTTCGCTTTTTTCTTCAGATCCTGACATTTTATTTCTCGAATAGTTTTGGGAGCAAGTACCATGATCGGCTTTGATGTGATTTTCGATACCGAAAACAAGCGCGTGGGCTTCGCTGAGTCTGATTGCGGTGCGTTGTTACTACGTACTTCCACGTATAAAGAGACAAGTTTTTCCTGACATTTTGTGTTCGATCTTACAGGGAAAAGCTACGACAATACTAGCACTCCAAGACCAATCGCTTCAAATAGTACCGAACAACCAACCATCCAGACTGAGACGCCAGTTGCTTCAAATGCGACGAACCAAACAGCCCCAACTGAAGCACAGATCACTGAGCAGCCGGTGTCTACTAATGCTACCTCCACAAGCTCGAGTAGTAATTCGTCGGTGGAGTCAAACACAACGGCAACAGCGTTGGCGGATGCAGCAAATAATGTCGATGTAGTTACTGGTTCATCTACTGGGGCCACAACGAGTCGAGCAAGCCCCAAGTTTGGCGCCTTTATCGCCGAAGTTATCCTCATTTCGCTGGTGGGTGTGGCACTTGCTGTAATGGTCTGGACCAAGTGGCGCACGCGATCTTGGTCTCGTATCCCAGACGCAACTGAGACTTCGCGAGCACACATGGAGACGGTCGTGGATATAGACGACAGTCGAAGTTTGTCACCAACCACTCCGCCAGGAAGTCCGTTATCTCCTCGGTCTCGAGCAGCTAGGAAAGGCCCGTCACCGAAGTTTACGATTGGCTCGCCCGTAGATGAAGATGCAGACGAGTTCCGCGAAGAAGATGAAGATGCTAGTAGTTTCCCGATCACCGGTCGTTCACAAGGCCCACGTACCAATCTGTAGACGAAATCTATATATAAACGCCAAATTCTGTCTATATATTAACTTCAACAAAAAGCATATACTTCCTAATGTTCAGCTCAGAATTTGGCGTTAATTTGGCACGCATCAGAGTTTGCCCTCGTTTCAGTGACATATCACCTTCCAAATTTGGAAGTTCCAAACAACTGCACATTCGATGCAGGTGAACGACGCTGTTGAGCGCCGCGTGTTCCTGGATGCGGCTGCCGGTGGTGATCTGGATGGAGTGAACGCATGGATCTCCGCGAGAAGAGACGTAAACGTGACGCTGGGTGAGGGCTGGACGGCGTTGCTCTACGCGGTGGCACACAGTCGCATGCGTATCGTGCAGAGACTTCTGAAGGAGGAAACCATTGACTTGAACGCCACCACAATGTAACCTATCAAGGTTAAACTTGACGACATAGGCAAACTAACGTAACTGCGGTGTTCTTGGCGTTTAGAACAGGATCGTCGGCGTTGACACTGGCGCTCACACGCAAAAACAACTCGCTGGTAGCTTTGCTGTTACGCAGTGGAGCTTCTCGCGCTACGATACGTAAGTAACCCTTGCTAGAGGACGCTATTTGATAGCCCCGCTTGTGTTGACGTTCAGATCTTCGCAGCAATTGCGATGTGGCAGGAATTGGCTGCATCAACTTGGGTTCGCGATGAAGTTAGGCACATGCTATCGCCAGATTGGGCTGTCGTGTGGAATCCGACATTGCATCGGCATTTCCCACCGGCCGAGCGCGAGAAATGCCGCCTCATTGTGCACGCGAACGTGTTGGCGTTGCGGTTTCTGGAGAGTCCAGCCATGACATCATCGGCTTCATCGGGGTGGAAGTTTGAAGCGATGCAGCAGTTTTGGTGGATAGCTGCTGCCTTGACAGGACCATTTAAGGCAGCAGAACAGCCCGTGCGGTGGCGATATCTGGCGGAACCCTTGGTCTACCACATCATAGAGTTCGCTGTCTTCCTCTGGTGAAATGGCGTTGACGTGTTGTAAGATTTTGCTGCATGGACAGCACCGCACACTGAGCCGGGGATTCACCGCGAGTAAGTCGATCAATTCCCGGCCATGCTGCTTCACGTCGGTGATGATCCTTAATGCTTACGCTGGGCGCGTAGAGACTTCAAGGCCGCCGACCTTCCTGTCCAGCAATTTGTTGGCAGCAAAGGAAGAGTGGCCCTTTACTTCGCGTTTCCAATCCTTCAGGATGGTACATCACGGATACCTCGTGCTGCCATCGCTGAGGTTCTTGAGTGTGTGAGGCAACGCATCCCGATGAAGATTCGAGCTGAAAATGCGAAAACATTGCAGCACCAGCACCAGCACAACATAGACTTGAGCCAACTAGGCTAGTGCAGTAATCCTTGGCAGTACAGTACTCGTTGCAGGTGGTCTGAGTCACTCAACTGAGTGCCACGCTTGCATGCATACACGTCTACGGTGGACGTTTGGAGTGCCCCTGCACTGGTGCCACCGAAAATGCCGCATACAGCTGAGTCAACACCATCGGTATTCGCTGCGGACTTCGATTCCTCGCCGCCGTTTGTTGGTTGGGTGGCCAGCAAGCCTTCTCCAGCGGAGAATCTCCCCAGCGTATCCTTGTATTTCCAAGCGTACAAAAGCAAGAAAGAGCCAAGTCAATACTCTTGCCAAGTCATGAGTCAATGCCAGAATACAGATGCACCTGCCAATCCGCGGACATTTTGAATCAGAACATTCGAGTCGAGCCAACATCGGCGACCGGTGTCAAGTTGAACGAATGCCATGGATATCATTTTATAGCCCTGCAGCCTCGCAGCGCGCTGTCTTGTGGCGGAAACCTCCGGAGAGCAAGACAACATGCCTGGGTCGCGCATGGACGCATGAACTGGCTGTTCGTGTCGCACCGCCATATTTTGAGTTTTTTGATTTGCAGTTGAACATGTGATTTTGCAGGTACAATGATTGTCATAAAACCTCAGTACCCTTACAAAAAATAAGATTGGTCCATTATACCTTATAGCACTACATAAAAAAGAGATAAATTCGATTAAGACGTTCCATCGGATAATACAGTTTTTTCTAAATCGCGCGGCGGGATAGGTTATGGCTCGCCCTCGTTTGCTTTGCAGCACATGCATGCATTCCTACAAATAACCGACACGCGCGCGTGGCCATTCTTACACCGAGCGAGCACGCACAGGTAAATGAACTGCATCGTATTCGAGCGCAGGCCGTGGGCGAGGGAGCGTAAGGGGGGAGCGCAGGTGTCCTTGCCGGCTGCGTCCACTCTCCAAGTTGCCGAGATTCGCTGTTTGCTCCGCCGAAAAGATTCGAGCAGGTGTTTTCACCTCGTTTCTGCATCGAATCTCGCACCAGTTGCCCCGCTCCGCCACGCTCTGCTGCAGAGGAAGAGTCTACTTTCTGAACTGCATTGGGACTGATTGGTTATCAGTTGTTTTTGTCTGCCACCTTCCTCAGACTGCGATTGAGACCGAGGAAGCGAAAACTCTACGTACTGTACCAACTTGACAGACAGCCATGAAGTTCGGCAAGGTGTTGCAGCAGTCGACGCAGATGTCGCCCAGCGCATGGGAGCCCTACTGGTTCGACTACAAGCTGCTCAAGAAGATCATCAAAGACTGCGCGCAGATCAAGAAGGAGGAGAAGCTTCAGGGTGACAAACTCGTCAAGATCAAGATCAAACCCTCCGCCAAGGAGGACAACGACAGCATCCGTACGTCGTAATGATAGTTTTTGCAATTTTTGGACTCGTATTGACCTAGTTTGTGTCTAAATAGGTCAGTCGCAGGACGAAATGAACTTCTTTCGCACATTGCGCATGGAGATCAAGAAGATCGCCGACTTCTTCATCAAGGAGCAGGCCAAACACACGAGTCAGGTAGCCGCCATCGACGCTAGCTTCCAGCAACTTAAGGTACGACGCTGTTGATGGAGGAAGATGTTGCTGAACGGTAATCCGAGGTACTAAGTGTCCTTTTTTACGTCGTGTATCGCTTAGACGAACCCCGAGTCGGCTGAAGCCAAGACGGCGCTCATGAAGAGCTGCGTAGCGCTGTACAAGGAGCTTCTACTGCTCGAAAACTTCGCTGTCATGAATTTTTGCGGCATTTCAAAGGTATGAACCCACAATGTTGCATTATTGCCAAAACCTCTGGTCTAACTTTGAGTTTTGTCTTACAGATTTTGAAAAAGCACGACAAGTGGACGGGATATGCCACGCGCAATAAATTCATGCACACGATCTTGATGAAGCAGCCTTTTGCGACGTATGAGCCTCTGCTGCAGATGATCGATCGTCTGGAGCATATCTTCATGCAGGCGACGGGATCGAGCATTGAACAGCACGACGCACAGAAGTCTTCGTCTCGACGCAGTGGAGGTGGTGGCAGCTCGTCATCTTCGCCTTCAGGAGACGCCCCCGACAGCTCAAAACCCGCCAATGGAGGTGCTGATGATAACGCTGCCTCTGGCAATGGATCGCCAAACCACTCGCCAAGTCACACACCACCTGGAGCTAGTGGCGGTCGCCATGATGGACGCAGGTATAGAGGCGCGGTAGATGAATCGTCCCCAAGATCTGAAGATTCAGTGACGCTAGTGCGAGTGAACGCGCTTCGAGATGACGTCCGGGAACTTAGGAAGATCGAGAGCGCGTATGACGGCGACGGAGAATACGAGGATAACCCGGACGATGCCAGTTTCCCTGATGATGACTCTGAAGTTCCACCGCTACGTTTTGGAGGCCGTCCACAAGAAGAAAAAGCTACGGGTCTCCTGCCCTCGCTGCCGCTGCGTGTTGCTCCTGCAGGCACCCAGTCAGACAGTGATGCTGCAGCGATTGCTATGCTTTCAATGAAAGACGCTGGCTTGAACGCGTCTGGACTTAGCAGCGATGGCGGTGACAGTGCGACGGATACCTGTCGTACGCGGAGTGCTAAGCGTAAAGCGTGTGCACCACTAAACATGGAAGGCAAGCGCAAAATGAGCGTCACTGCGATTCTCAACTAGCAGCAACAGGATGTCAAATTCGTCATAGCTGGAACAGAAGAGGGGGCGGGAATAACCTACGACACGTTGCATGTTGTTGCCATATTCATTCATCTTCCCTGGTCGCCTGTACTCATTCGTTCTTGTGTTCTACCTCCAGCAAACCAAGGTTTCTCCCAAACTACTCCTACACACGTGTGAGCACTAGTCAGGCGGACAGAAAGCTCTAAATGCTCCTTCGTCAAGCGTACTGCTGCCTTGCTCATCGTCTGAGTTGCAACACCTTCTGTCTCTTCCTAATGCCAGCGCCACAACAGCAAGTCGCCTAGTAGTAGCGCCCAACTAAAAAGAAAATGATCGCGCACACCAGCAGATGTAGAGGACCAAATGCCTGTAGCAGCAAAACACAACAGTAAATAATCATCACTTTTGTTGACAGCAATGACAACTAAACGTACCCCCTGATCCTTGGGACCTTTGCCCGTGATCGTCTGCGAGTCTTCGTTACCAGATACACCGTTGGCGCCGCCATTTTTCCGATGACGAAGACCCGTCGACTCCTCCGGGATTTTCTTCACGCGCTGAGCGTCAGTGTTCGCCTTCTGCAGTAGCTGTCGGGTCTTGTCCAAGTCGCTCATCAACACGTCACGCTGCGCAGTCAACTGCACTGTAAACGCCACCAACTACAACATACAAAGCCGTCAGCCGTCTACCCAATTGTCCTCACACTGTGTGCCTCTTACCTCATCATATTTCTTGCGCAGGGCAGCAACCTCCTGGATATCTTTGCCTCCTTCTCTGTTCTCCGCGACCTTGGGCTTATCATCCTGCAGCAATGCCGAGGACAGTTGTGCGGGTGTGGCCACTTCTTCTCGTGCTTCATCACTCTGTCTAGTCTGGAACCTCGATTCCGAGGCTGCTGCTGTCTTGGCTGGCGATACGTTCGTTGACGACGCTCGCTGTGGACTGGGAGGCGAAGCTGGACGACCAGTATCCTCGCCGTCCTGCACAAAGCGACAGCGCAGCTTCTTGTTGGATAACGCGCGCTTGTCCGTGCGTGCCCACATATTAGTGAGCTCATCTGCCATCTCTTTGGTGGATTTAGTCTTCACCAACTCGTAGAAACTGTCGTCCACGTAGATACTCTGTACCAAGAACTTATCGTTCGCCAATTGGCGCTCGGCCGGGTCCAGTCGCAGCAGCTCGTCGCAGTCCTTTTGCTGTAGGATCACCATGATGGAGGCTGAGCCATTGGGCCCCAGCAGACCCTGGTTGGGTCGCACCAGATAGCGCAGCGGCCGCGTCGTCTTGACCTTGAAGGCGATCTGCCGATCATCCGCCACGTTGCGGATTGTCAGCACCGCCTGGGGTGCCGTCTGAGGCTGCAGATGGAAGGACAGCGAGTCCGCCGGTTCCAGGATCACGCTCGAGTTGGGCGCCAGCGCCACGTCCACGCCGCTGCTCGCCATCGCCACTTGACCGATCGATCGACGTTACGAGTCTGCGATGCGCAGATGTTGTCTGTTGTTCTCAGTTCCCCCCTTAAGTGGTGTGTGGCACATATATTGGCACGACCAGAATTTTGTATGCGTACAATTCTGAAGATGAAAGGCAATTTTGGATTGGAACCTAAATGTAAGATGGACATGAAACGTTGCCCCAAGTGGTGGAGTAGAACCACTTTTACTTAGACCGTTTGGTCTTGCTCCGTGGCGGGCGTGTAGAGCCGCTGCAGCTGACCAAGCTGCGCCTCGTAGTCTTCGTCGCTAAGTCGCGCCATAGTTTCGGCCACCGATTGGAACGTGTTCATAGCGCGCTCGTATTTCTGCGTCTGCTGAGGCGTCTCAAACTTGGGCGGAGGCGGGTGGCCCAACATCGACTGGGACAGCTGGCTACGTCGCATCATTTTCAGCAGCACGTCCGGGTAAGCCTCATAGATCTCGCGGCTCACCGGGTGATTGTGCGTCACAACCTATACCAGACAAGCATCAATGTCAGAATAGATCAAAGATCATCAAATAGTCGTGGCGGAGCTTACCTGGTCCGTGACGATCACCATGTACTTGGACGGATTATCAGCCGGGGTGATCTTGACATTGATCTTGGCCATGCAGCCAATGCCGCGGTACTTCTGTCCGGGGCGAGTGTTAGCACCACGGCAACGCGCCTTCATGGCGTGTGTGCACATGTAAATCCGGTGGTGGTGGATGGCTTCGTCCGGGAACTCGGCGCGACGTCCACGCGAGCTCTTGTTGTTAAGCATGACCTTCTGCTGGTTACGACGGTAGGCTTCGACACTGCAGGATGAGCGCATGCGGAAGGGCTGGAACGTCTCCTGCATGTACATTTCAAAGTACGAGTCGAAGTCGAACCACGAGTTGAACGAGACGCGCGCCATGCGCTTGCTATCAAATTTGACGTTAGCAGTCGCGTTCGGGTCAGCGCCAACGCCAGCAGCAGCCGCAGCGGCTACCGCGTCCTGCACCGGGGTGGCCGAATCAGTCTTCAGCGGTTCAGGAGGTGGCACGACGGCCGCAGCAGCCGCCGCCGCGTCGAACGCCACATCCACACCTACAGTCTCCTTCATCTTGGCCACGACATCGTGCATCTCGTCATCCTGAGTGGCCTGCGAGTCCTGCGAGTTGGTGTCGTCTGCAGTAACAGCGTCCACAGTCGGCACAAGCGACGCGACGTCGTCATCGCGTTCACGGCGCTTCTCTCCCACCACCGGCTCGTGATCCACCTTGCCGATGTCTTCCACCACCACTTGAGTCGTCGCAGCGTCCGCAGGTGTGTTTTCGTCGGCACCACTTGCAACCATAATTGACCGGATTTGGCGCGTGGACGGATCGATTCGAAAGAAAGACTGCCACACCAGACTGGTGTGGCGCGATCCACAAATGCAACATAAAACCAAAATCCCCCTCTTCCGCAAAAAAACCTCAAAACGCTGTGCACCACACATTTCGTGTGGCGTACAAGAAAGTTTCTGAGAAAAAAACTATCCCTCTCACAAGGAATAAACCTCGGAAAACTGGCTTCATGTGCACCACGTATTTTAAGTGCGGCACATTTCATTTCAGCAGGTCAGAGGTACACTGTACCATGTATCGCACAGCCAACCAAACAGCAGCACTGACGCTTGAAGGTATCAACGTGCTGGCAGCCAACGGTATTGACGCTGGTCATTTGGCAATCGCTCAGCAGCTCAAGACTCCGGTGATTCTACTCTACAGATACCATGGCCAAGAAGACGAAAGCTCCCGTTGCCGTGAAGCCTGCGTCCAGCAGCGACAGCTCGTCTGACTCCAGCAGTGACGAGGCGCCGCAGAAGGTTGTGGTGGCCAAGAAGGGATCCAAGGCTGCCCCGAAGAAGCCCGTTGACTCGGACAGCTCGGATTCGGACTCGAGCTCCGACGAGGAGGAGGCTCCGAAGAAGGTTGTGGCTAAGAAACCCGCTGCTAAGAAGGAGGAATCGAGCTCGGATTCGTCGGACTCGTCTTCGGATGAGGAGGAGGCGCCTAAGAAGGTCACGCCTTCAAAGAAGGTCGTTGCTAAGAAGGAGAGCTCTGACTCGAGCTCTGATTCGTCGTCGGACGAGGAGGAGGCTCCTAAGAAGGCTACCCCTACCAAAAAGGTCGCTGCTAAGAAGGAAGAGAGCTCCGACTCCTCGGACTCGTCTTCGGATGAGGAGGAGGCTCCTAAGAAGGCAACACCCGCCAAGAAGGTCGCTGCTAAGAAGGAAGACAGCGACAGCTCATCGTCAGACTCTAACTCGTCAGATGACGAGGAAACCGAGAAGCCCGTTGCTAAGAAGACTGCTGCTAAGAAGGAGGAGTCTTCATCTTCTTCGTCGAGCGACTCGGACTCGTCTTCGGATGAGGAGGAGACTACTATTGTCTCCAAGAAGCGTAAGAACTCGGACGCCGGTGAGAAGTCCAACAAGGTGCAGAAGCAGGAGAACGGTGATGCCGCTGCTGTGGCCAACCCGCAAAAGACCCTGGAGATCTTCATTGCAGGCCTGCCTTGGTCCGCTACCGAGGACGAGGTCAAGGAGCACTTCGCTGGCTGCGGCGAGGTGACTGCTGCTCGCATTCCTCTGCAGAACGGCCGCTCTTCCGGTACCGCTTTCGTGACCTTCGCCACCCCCGAGGCTGCTGAGGCAGCTCTTGCCATGGACGGACAGGACTTCGGTGGTCGTTGGATGAAGATCCGCACGGCTGAGAAAAAGAACATGTTCGACGAGAAGCCGGACGGCTGCACCAGCATCTTCATTGGCAACCTTGCTTGGGATGTGGACGAGAACACGGTGCGTGAGACTTTCGCTGAGTGCGGTGAGATCACCAGCTGCCGTCTGGCTACGGACCGCGAGACCGGTGAGTTCCGCGGCTTCGGACACGTTGACTTCGCCACGACGGAGGCTGTCGACGAGGCTGTGAAGCTGGCTGGTTCGTACGTGAACGGCCGTGCCATTCGTGTGAACTACGCCAAGTCTCGCGACAATAACGGCGGCGGTGGTCGCGGTGGCTTCGGCGGACGTGGCGGTGGTCGTGGCGGACGTGGTGGACGTGGTGGTTTCGACGGCGGCCGTGGCGGAGGCCGAGGCTTTGGTGGACGTGGAGGCGGCCGGGGTCGCGGTGGAGGCCGTGGTGGACGTGGAGGACGTGGTGGCCGTGGCGACGGCCCGCCTAAGCGTCAGTCGTCGTCCATCCAGAACTTCCAGGGTTCCAAGGTGACTTTCGACTAATTTAATGGGGACAACCTTCACGTAGGCCAAGGATACACTGTCGTGTATTGACTAGTTTTGCATTGCTTTGAGCTTCAATCGATTCTGTTTACATAGACTCAAAAACGTTTTGTTAGTGGCATTCCAACTTTGAATTCTACAGGTACGGCGTCGGTGAGGGCAAACTTGGCGTTCTATCAAAAGTCGTGAATTTTTTCAGTAATAATAACATTAAGCAAGAATCAACTTCAGAAGCAATATTCATGATGCTACATACATCAATCCAACATTATTAGTAGTAGTACGTACTTCTCTGGCCCGCTTCAAAATGACGCTTTCATATATTTACCGATAACTTTGAAGCCTAACCTCGGCAGAAAGCGGTAAGCACACCATTGAAAAGCCCCCGGTTTAGCGCACCTGAGCATATTTTTTTGTTGCACTAGCAACAGGTACGGATGAGCACCATGCGCTCAAATTCCGCAGTTTGAATCCCATGAGGTTTTTTGGCGCAGTTCAGTCAATATTTAGCGATATTACACCTAATTTTAAGGACGATTAAATTAGACGATTAGCTTCAATAGGATGTACCCATGCAGAAACGAATTAGAAGCTCTAAAATTTGGACGCAAAGAGGGCGAGGATTATTTCCAAAATTTTGGGCATAACGGTGAGCCACCAATTAAAATTAACCAATCAGAAGATAGATAAGAATTAACCTAATATTTATGCTTTCCAAAACATGAAATTAGCTATTGAACTTAATTATGAATCGAAAAGCTGGCTGTACCCTTTTTTTCTTAACACTATTGCGGCAGAGGCCAACTTTCTCCATAGCCGCGCACACAGACCCACGGAGTAGGTGGCCGCGGACACTGCGCACAACACTACGCGAAGTCATATTGCAGGTGGGATGTCCTTTTTTTCGGGGGTTCTTGGCATCGGCGTGAGTGGGATATTGGAGTTTGAGAGCGTTCACCAGTGTCAGAATTAGTGGTCGGGAGACAAATATAAGAACTTGTCACTTTTTATCCAATAAAAACAATTTACTCAGTTATGTGCGATTTATTAAAACCCCAATCGTCATTTTGAAGCGGGCCAGAGAAGTACTATCCATGATTCGCGGACACTGGAATTTCCCTGAAATATTACAATTTAGGCGAATTCATAATCTAATATAACTCTTCATAATTCTGACTGTGAAGATTGATTATCTGTTTTGTAGCTTTTCATAATTCCGACTGTGATATTAAATACTCGGAGTATGTAAAAAGCGCTGGCTGCATCAATGCGTTAAAGTTCTAGACGTAAAACTACAAAGTGAAGCTAGACCTGCCAAGATAAGGCGCTGGAAGATATAGACTTGTGTAGTGAGCAGAAAAAAAGAAATGATTGAGATGTTTAATTTGTGGTCTTGATGTTTCACGGACACCACTAGTTTAGCTTTCCTGCTCAAATTGAAGCTATCAAGTTAACCACAGCCGAGAGGAGAACACAGCTTTTAATCTTAGCGGTTGTCGGGCCATATGGGCCGCAACACTTGGGCAGGAAAAGAAGTAGAGGAGCTTGCAAAGAAAATGTGAAAGTGAGAGGTGATATTAAAGAGCTTTGGAGAGAGAATAGCGGAGGCCATGGAGCCTGAACACGTAAACCAACCATCTCGAACAAGCGCAAAAACCGGAGTTCTAGATGCTAATTACATGTTCTAGTTATTACACGGTTGACATTCCGTACAATCTGGCGTGAGGTTGCCACATCTACAGTGATGGTGTGTACTAGTGTGTGTGATATATCGTCAATTTGGACACATCCTCCATAGCCTCTGTGTCGAGTTTGTCGAGCCATAGGGTTTGACTCGTACGCAGTTTCGGAAGAAGAGGAGAAGTTGTGAAGACAGAGCAAAAGAAAGAGTGAGATTTAGAGTTAAGACGTAGATCGAGGGCACACGGAACGCGTGGCAGGTCTTGAGACCACCAAAGGTGAAGCTGCTTTCTGGTGAATCAGCGATGTGCGTGTCCTACGTAGAATCTGGTAACTAGTTGTCCCCAATGGTATCAACGCACTAACAGTTCCTGATATGTGAAAACGTCGGTGAGTGCAAGCTTGAATTCTCTTGAGTAACAGGCGAGAAACAAATGGTGTATTAATAAAAAAAATCCACTTTAAAAACAAAATTCATGATGCTACATAGCAATCCAATATTATTACATGTATGACAACGCCACAACGTTTGTTGTGTTTGTTGAGGTGGCTCACGGATTTAACATGAGGCCGATGACCAGTTGCAGTGTCTTCGATGTACCTCACCACGACATCCTATCTAGAGACAGCGTGGAAACCATACAACGACACGTAGGGCGGTCCCAGATCGGAGACGTGCTGTTGAAGGCTCCAACTCCGTGCTTATCCATTGGAGGGCACTGGATTCACCTGAATATTACAATTTAGACGAATCTTCAATCCAATGTAACTTTTCATTATTCCGACTGTGAAATTGATCACCTGTTCTGTAACTTTTTCATAATTTCGACTGTGAAACAAAATACTTTTACGTTTCATTATACCAGCCACCAGTTAGTAGATGTGGACCACACAAACAGTTACATGTTAATTAGCTAGAATAGAGACTTCATACTTGAACTCTAAAACTAAGGCTGTAAGACATAAATTACTATTCGACACCACTACACACACAGCACCTTGGAGTTATGCCAGGAACAATTGAAGCACGGAAGCTAAACACAGTTAGAAAGTCGTTGTGGCACTGACCTGATTGAGCTGGAAGCGCGTGGCGTATGATCTCAAAAAGCTGTAAAAGCCATTTGAGCTGGGTAATGGAGCAGCAGGGTGTGTGTGTGTGGGGCTCCCGCAATAATGCAGGTGCCTAGGGCACTGAGCCTCCTCAAGACTGACCTAAGGGCGCCCCGGATTTTTAAACAATAACATTTAGAAATATTATAGAAATCCAGTACTGAAATAGTTAGTGTGGCAAACTTCCGCAGCAAAGTCTGTGCCTTTATATATAATA